GGCCTGCCACTAGCGGGGAAGGTCTGGCCAAATCCGCCGACGGAGCTCTCAGCATGCCAAGCTTGGTTGGGTAACATCTCAGGGACCGATAATGCTTGGCGAAGGACACTGATAAATGTACTAATCCAATACCCACTGTATGAAATCTGGAAAGAACGAAACGCCTGCATCTTCCAGGATTCTGCCACCACTGCACAGCTGCTCCGACATCGCCTAGATCGATCAGTACGAAGCACACTTTTATCGCTCCAGCAGGAACGTGACTGCGAAAGCAACGAACTCCTCCAGTAGTGGTACTCCCTCAATCTGAACCAAGATTTGCAATTATAAGCCATGTATGAGTTTGTACTATATTCCTTTGTAAGGGTCGAATAGTGTAAGCTTCAAGTGTGGATAGGGGATCCTGGACTATGTACCACACTTTTTGAGAAATATACCCAAATTTCATCATAAAAAAATATATGATATGTAACGTCGTGATTCGTGACTGAAAGTTTTTGTCTATCTATTATCCTGCCCAAATTAGGGCTTGCTTTTCAAATGTTTAATTTCCCGATCTCAAAATTGTTTTTTAATTGAATGTTTGCAAACTATCTTTTTTATATTTAGATTATAAAACATTTTCATGCATTTGATTATTCATATGAAAGATACGCACATATATATATATATATATATACATATAATAGTGCGTGTGATTATTAAAATGCAACATGTATGCATGAGTCGCATGTAAAAGATTTTAATAGCATTTTAGTACACCCATAATACAAGTCATACAATGTTAATTATAATTAAGAGACTACATATATTAGATTTCGGGTATTAATAATATATTATTATGCCATCAAGAGCAGTATTATAAATGAATGGTAAGGTAATTTGCAAATAGTTTGTTAGATAATTCAGAAACATACTCTTATATGATCGTGCAATCGTAGCTGTCTGGATTTGGACAGCCAAAACCGTAGGTTCCTTAATCATTGGATAATGCATGTTGCATGTTCTTTATTTTAATCAAAAAGTAGACGTTGTTTATGGCGAATCTATATAATACGATATGAAATCGCTTATCCAACGCCATTTTAAGGAGTATTTATTTTATTTTTTAAATCAGAAAAATTCTTACTATCAAATATTAGTTTTGGTTCGGTTTTGATTGGTTCTATTTAGAATATTATAAAATTTTAAAGAAATTTTGAGTTATATATATATATATATATATATTTAAATTTGATTTCGAAAAATTCAGTTTTTAAAAAATGTTACCACTTAGAAATTTTTTAAACGGTTTGATTCGAAAATATATTAAATTATTTGGTTCGCTACGTCATCGATTTCGACGAACCCTATCAAACGTCTGCCCTACTACATACACAAAATTCATATTTTCAAATTTCAAATATATATATGTATATATAATTAAATGTGGATAAATGAAACACCCAGTTAATATAAATTAAAATAACAAATATGTGTACACATAATTAATTATTTTTTTAAAAATAGAATGTATATGTGTCCGTAAAACTAATACACAGTTGTCAATATTGGGCCCACAAAGGCGAAGGGAAGGCCCAATTGTGAACAACCCGTCATGATGGATCATCCATAAAATAGAAGCCCAAACAAACACCTAAGACGAAGGAAATACAATAATTTTTTATTCATTTCATTAGTATTTTGGAACCCATTTTATTCGTATAAATTTGTTTTTTTTTATAGTTTTTTTCTATGCAACGTTATTTGTTTTGTTTGCTAATTTATCCCAAAGAATTAATTGTTAGCTTTCAAATTTGCAGAAAATTCTACTATAGACGGATACATATATATATACACACACACAAATGAAAATATGGGATTTCTTGTTAAAATTTTAAATTGAATTTTTTTAAAATTTTATATTTTTTGAATTCTAAAAATTTAATATTAAATTGAGAGTTATGTCAATTTGGATGATTTTTTGGTGAAATCGTTTAGAAACTGTTTTTTTTTTTGTTTTGTTTTTGGTAATACTACTCCTAGTAGTAGTAGTTTCCCAAATTATGCGGATATCTAGTAATTTCTTGGCCAGTTAAATAAATATTTGACTCATTAAATTATGGTGTCCACGTGGCGATATTTCATTTGCTGCTTAAAACATACAGCGATACTGAGTGACGCATGTGAATGTATCTCTCCACACGTGTCGCGCACTATCTTGAGTTCCGTCTCCGTTGGCTTTTTCTCGCCGACTTTCTCACCACTTTCTCTTCCAGCAAATTTTCCCGAGAAACAAACAGGTGGGAACCAAATAATTTCTTTCTTCACCGTTATCCGGCTTTCGCGGATCCGTCGTATTCGTGTACGGATGGATTATCCTCAGCTCAAGGCGGTGACGCTCACGCACGTTCGCTACAGGCGAGGCGACCAGGTCGGCCACTTCCTCGCCTGGATCTCGCTCGTTCCCGTCTTCATCAGCCTTGGTGGGTTCGTCTCTCACTTTCTCTTCCGCCGTGAGCTTCAGGGGATGTTCTTCGCCTTCGGGCTCGTGATCTCACAGTTCGTCAACGAGGTGATCAAAACGTCCGTACAACAGGCTCGTCCCGAGACCTGCGCCCTGCTCGAGGCCTGCGATTCGCACGGATGGCCTTCAAGCCACTCGCAGTACATGTTCTTCTTCGCGACCTACTTCACACTCATGACCTGCAAGGGAATAGGGTTTTGGATCGGGCTGAGGAACCGATGGATCGTGAATCTTCTCCATTGGTGTCTGGCTGTTCTCACGATGATTTCCAGGGTTTACTTGGGCTACCACACTGTGGCGCAGGTCTTCGCCGGTGCGACTCTCGGGGCGGTGCTCGGTGCGACTTGGTTCTGGTTCGTGAATTCGGTGCTGTATCCGTATTTTCCGGCGATTGAGGAGAGCACGTTGGGAAGGACCTTCTGTATCAAGGATACTTCTCACATTCCTGATGTTTTGAAGTTTGAATATGACAATGCAAGGGCAGCTAGGAAGAATGTGGCCTCCAAATCCGATTGATCGGCGAAATTCTTGATCTGGGTAAGTCGAAATTTCCATTTCTATTTCGTCGATATGGTGGGTTCGGCTAGATTTTGGTGGGATTAAGCATTACAGCGGGCATTACGCTACATTTGGAACTGAAAGTATTTAGGTTGTGAAGCAGGATATGGTATCTGATTCTGTCATATCATGGCTTGATTTACATAGGTTCGAGTATCTGTTGGGATCTGTGTTCTTGCAGATACTGTAGGCCGTAGATATAGTTTCCGAATCTACAACTTGAACAAGATGAACCTATATCTTGATTTTGAATCTACAACTTGAACAAGACACTTGTGTTCATCTTGTTTGTTATGGAATTACAAAAGAGAGAGGAACAATGGTTTCAGAAATGGTGCAGTTGTAAAGAATGCACATTGTTTCAGAGGTTTCAAAACCCAAACTTAGTGTTGGTGGGTGTCTTCTCAAACAAACTGGTTTCTGAATCAATTGACAGAGTACACATATATGTCTGAGAAGGATTGGATCTCAAACTGTACTCATACCAGTACTTGTTGCTTGAGTTGATGTTCACCCAGTTGGCTTGGCTCCATGTATTCATAGTGCACTGTACGGTTTGTGGATAGTGAGATGTACTCGTATATAAACTGGATAGTTCTAGTCTTTAAGACTGCCGTAGAAAACTTGGAAGTGTAGTTTCTCACCTTGACTATCCACGGGTCCGGATCCATGAGTTTGGTTTCGGTTGCAAGGTTTTTGGCATTGCCAATGGCAAAGCTTCCTTTGGCATTCCTCTATCATACTTCCTGCTTGGAGAACATAGCATAGCACTCTGATTGGTGGATGACATGATGGTGATGATGATGATGATGATGCCATAGCCTTGTTTTTATGCACGATTTGAGATTACTAATTGATGTTTGTATTCGTAGTACTGATTCTTGATCTGGGTTGACTCGTCCTTAGTTGCTAGCCGCTAATATTGCCATGTCTTCTTCCTTGTGACAGAGGTGAAGAGCTCAACTCATGGGGGACTTACACTGGCGAGTCTATTTCATGCGTCCTCCTCCTTTGACCCCTTTAGCATATACGCAGAGAACTTCACTCATTGCTTCGTGCAACAGAAACAAGAAAATCTTCAACGCTATTTATTTACTACCCAACTTACAGTCTTACAGTGGTTTTACTTCTCTCACCCTCCCTATCTCCTACAGGAAAACAAATATTCAATATATATATATATACATATATAATCGTGTATCTTTGCTAGTGTCGGGTTTACCTGATGTGGTCTCTACAAGGGGTCATTTCGGGTTTCGGTTATATTCAGATTCGGATTAATTTTGGTTCGGTTTCGTTGGGATTCGGTTATATATATATAATCGTGTATCCATCCACTCATACATACATACATACATACAAACATGTTCCAACGATACAGATTTGGATTCATTTTGCTCAAGTAACTAAATATTTGTAATAAATTTATATGGTGGATGAACTAAATATCACCATGAGTATTTTTTTTTTATAGCAGAAATACGTCTATCTGGATTTCATTTGAGCAGATTTATACGCCATCCATCTCATATTTTGATAGTTCAACCCGTGTAAATTAAGAACGAAATATTGGATGGTAAATTATGTATAAAAAAAATCGATGGATTTCCAAATTACGCAGCACAATTAATCATTTGTGTTGGATCTTTTAGTATTAACGGAATCACTAATAATATGATGAGAACAAACAGAGGAGATTAGTTTGGTCTTATATTATTAGGATGGGTAGAATTAGTGCTAATTTTATATGATATATCATTCAAATTGTTATAACTAATGTTAGTATATCATCATCAATTATCATATGGATATGGATATATATCTAACTCTGGGATGATCCACATATACATGCCATACGTATTAAATAGCATATATATATATAATATAAAAGGTGGATGTGAAAATGAAAGAGAGGCCATGCCTAAACCAGCGATGAAATAGCTGTAGAATGTTGGACCCAAAGGAGAAGTAAGACAACCCATTTATGGAATTCATATGGCCTGATCTTTAATCTCCAAACATCCTTACATCATCATCATCATCATCACCATCATCATGTTCGGATTGATAATATATACTACAAATTTACTTTTGATTGTGTAATATGCGCACACAAAAGTTATGTATAATATCGATTCAATATAAAAGTAAAAAATATATATCAGATATCTTCTGTTTGATCGTGAAAATAATTTCTTTGTAACTGTAACTGTGTAAAGTATTTACATATATTACGATCTATTTTGTAATCGTTATAAAACTCTAAGCAATACGATTGTAAATACTAATAGGGGGGAAAAAAGACCGTACGGTATATAATATGTAATATATATATATATATATATGTACGTATATACGGACTTTGGGATCGCATTTTAATATGAACATCGTGGTAATCTAAAATAATATTTCTATTATTAATTACGGGCGCTTACTTTATGGTTTAGATTACGCATTCAGATTTTAATACGTATATAATTAAATGCATATACGCGTGTATATATATAATGTTCTTTCTTGCATGAACGACCGACTAAATTAAATTATTAATTGAACGCACCAGTTTCGACCAGTGGATGTCGCCCTATGACTTGTGGGCCCACTAAATTATGTTTTTGAAAATGATTTTTCTTGGTCCCTAATAACATCGTTTTCGGGCAGCGTTTGCACGTAAACGCTGATGTTAGCGTTATTTCGTATTCCCAAGTCGCGCGTCAGAAACAGCGTTTAACCAAACGCGGATCCCAATAATTCTCAGCGATAAGCTTTTTGAAATAAATCTGTACATAAATGATTCAACAAGAATTAAAGACTTACAAGAGAATTCACCAATCACAATCACATATATATATAGACATATACGTATATGTATATATATATATATATATTGATAAGATAACACATGGACTTGTCTTTTATTCGTTATTATTGCCTTTCAACAAACAATACATTTTATTTTGTTAATGTTAAATACTGTCCCCGCTAGTTTAGTTTCCACTGCCCATAATCCCTTGTCCATGCACACACAATATTCAAATTATATATTGAATATAATTATTAGGGCGTGAATCCAACTGAAATCTAGTGTATAAAAGATGAAAGAATATAATTTTAAAATTTAAAAAACTCTAACCAAATATACAAATACATTATAACTTAAACTACTAAGTATACGATCAATTTTGGTCTACAAACAATATATAATGAATTAAATTTGATCTCCTAAACGTCTGGATACCGATTATATGAAGGAAATTTACCTCACTTTGACTTCTAGAATTTTTTTGATATTTTTTTATTTTATTTTAATATATGGATATTTCATGTCAAAATAAATATCAATCGCCGGAAAAAAATTTATGTATAAATAAAAAATATTATACATGTTTTTAGTTTTTTTTTTATCAGATCCTTAATTATCAAAAAAATAAATAAATGGGAACTCCTTTTTCTTTCCACTCTATATATAATGGCAATCGGACACTCCAATCCATCCCTTCATTCAAATTCAACACCCAACGAGTTCACCAAAACCAAGAAAACAAAAAAAGGGGTATTTATTTTATTTTTTGAATTATATATTTAATCATTTTTTATATAAATAGGAAAATAATGAAGCCGCCGAAAAGCAGCAACGCCGCCGCCGTCATGTGCCTCCTCATCATATGCCTCTTCCTCGCCGTAAAAGGTTTCTCTCTGAACTTGATAATAATTATATGTTATATATATATATATATATGCATACGTATGTAAAAAATGATGTAGAAAATGTATTTTTTTTGTGGGTTTGTGTTATTATATATATATATATATAGGAAAGTCGGAGAAAAAGGAAATTGTGGAAGTGTACGAGATTGATTATAGAGGACCGGAGACGCATAACTCGAGACCTTCGCCGGAAAATATTCACGGCAAACCTCCCTCCATCCACCACCACACCTCCTCCGCCGCCCATCTCTCCCACTCCGCCGGAGGAACGAGTAAGAAGTAACACATACATGCTCATGTATATATATATATATATGTATACTATACAATGCAATAAGTTTTTCAACATTTCCGGTTTTTCTTTTCTTTGGATCATCAGATTAGAGGGATTTTGAAGAAGAAGAAGAGAGAGAAGGTTATAATTGATGAAAGAGAGGCGCAGTTTGTTGTTCTGTGGGTTATGAAATTGCTCCATTGTCATGTGTCATGTCCGGGCCTCTCTCTCTCTCTATATATATATATACATGTGTATATGTGTGTTATGACATGTCGTGAAGAAATGAAATGATGAGACAATATATACGTTATTATATATACGGGCCATATATATAACTGAACGAATGTCATATAACTACATCAGCCATCCAGATAAATTAATTTTTTTTTAACCGTAAATATATTAAATTAATCTCGTTTACGTACAAGAAACCTTGGCATACCAGGCAGAAAAGCAGTTACAGAAACTCAGACAGATAAATTAAATTTGATGTAATAAACCAAAAATAATTGAATCCGACGTGATTAAAATTTTGAAATATTATAATTACAAAATCTTATATTTTATCTTGTCGATCGAGTCCAGATAATATGAATGTGGAAGACAAAGAATAAGACCTAATACGAATTTATTTATATATTGTATATTTGAATCAACTTAGATTAGTCGATGATCTTTCCATATTTAAAATATAACAGAAAAACTCATGTGTTATATTTATAGTTGTAGTGTAGTTTAAAATATTCTGAAAGTAAAATGTAGGTCATTAGTGAAATATTAGCATAAAATAAATAATCATTCGGCTACAGGCTCGTATAAAATTAGGTTATTATAACATTTAGGATTTAATTTCATTACAGTTCTTGAGAATCATCTAAAAGTTTAGGAGTTATTATAACATTTAGGAGTAATTGTTTATTTTGAATTTTTTTAAAAAAATTAGGGTTTAATATAAGAAGTAGAAAGAATTTATGTATTTATTTGAGAGTTTTAAAAATTATTTATTGATTTAAAATTTTTTCTAAGCTAATGTATTTTCCTTAAATATTTTTACCCTAAATCCATTCTCTGCACTCAACTTTTCTCCCATCCTCCCATCCTATCGATTATATGTACCCACCCTTATCTGATCTGTCCGTACCTATACCTATACTACATATTATTATTAAAATATTATCATTGATATGATTATGATTTATTCTAGATATTATGTCTAGAATATTCTATTGTATTTTGATATATATTATGATGTATTCTTTTTATTATCAATAATAGAAAAACATTTTTTTTATTATGGTATCAAAGCTTCGTTTTTTGTTCTAATTTTTTTTCTTCTCATCAATAATGTTGATCGAATCTGAAAGCGACGATGAAGATGACAACGATATACTAAATCCAATAGTATCATCGCCTTGAGTATCGTTTTAAATTTATTTTGCTCTTTTTTTTCTTCTATTTTTTTCTTCAACGACGGTGTTCATATTGTCAACACTAGCCGATGTGCTACTCTTTTTTTTCTTTGACGACGTTCGTTTATCGATGTCAACCATAGCCGTTGTGAGCTCTTTAAACATGGCTTTTAACCTCTTTTGATTGGAAAACTCCGATCGTCGATCTACTTATTTGGGTCACTTATTTTTATTCTCTTCTCTTGTCTCACTGCTAGACTATCACGCATTATGCGTCGCGCTTTTGCGTCCATTTTTTTTTCTTTTCTCTGACCTAGCCGCTATATACACCGCAGTTTTTTGCGCTGCCGACTTCATTGTCGTGTAACCCAATTCACGCATACGCGTCGCACTTTCGTGCCATATCAACCTCTGAGAATACAACTCTCAAACTTTTCAAACGTTATCAAGCAACACCGACTCAAGTCTCAATTACACCACTACATAGAAGATGATTCGTTTAATACGATCACAATTTCAGTTTTCAGTTTTTATATAACAAGATTGAATACATCATAGATAATTCATTTTGAGGGGGCATATATGAAGATATTATTATTAGAATATTATCATTGATATGATTATGATTTACTCTAGATATTATGCCTAAAATATTCTATTGTATTTTGCTATATATTATGATGTATTCTTTTTATTATCAATAATAATAAAAAAATATTTTCCCTATTATGTAGATATACAAACATGCAATATGTTTAAAACTTCGGACATATATGGACAGCAAATTGGAGACCGAAATTTAAATCCTAAAACATTCGGAACAAAATACTCCTAAGTTTTCAGATAATCGAATTTCACACCCGCCCACAATTCTATACCATATTTTGCATTTACATTTTTTAGTAAATGATATTTGAATTTCTGAATACATTAATATATCGTTGTACAATTGGTTTTATACAAAAACCTGAGGGCTAAAAAGAAAAAAATACAGAGAGAGCCTAACAAACTAACAACCTCTGTTAGGCTGAAATGCTACGTGTATAAAAACAGAAAAGAAGAATATTCTTCAGTTTCTCCTATAACATGGCGCCTAAATATATACAAATATCCTTAATACGGCCCCCTCAAGTCACGGACGGGAGGAAGAGACTTGAGAGCTGCATCTTGCCCAGGAGAACAGAGAAATGAGCAGGTTGAAGTTGTTTCGTAAACAGGTCTGCCAATTGTCGATCAGACGGAACATGAAGCAAGTTCAGAAATCCTGTCTTAAGCCTTTCCCGTACAACATGACAATCGATGTCGATATGTTTAGTACGTTCATGGAAGACAGGGTTAGTAGCAATGTGGATAGCGGACTTGCTATCACAAAACAGGTTTGCTGGTCCAGAAACCTGAACATGCAAATCTGTCAATAAATGTTGTAACCAGACCAACTCGCAGGTAACGTTTGCTAGAGCCCGATACTCTGCCTCGGTGCTACTCCGAGAGACAGTGGTCTGTCTCTTTGCTTTCCAGAAAATTAGGGAATCTCCAAGGAAAACACAAAAACCAGAGGTGGACCGCCGGGAATCGGAACAAGAAGCCCAATCGGAATCAGCAAAGGCATTCAAACGCAAGACAGAATGAGCTGAGTAGAGTAAACCCAGACCTGGATTGCCTTTCAAGTATCGAATCACTCGTTGAGCAGCCTTCATATGCTCTGTCGTGGGACAGGAAAGAAACTGACTTAACTTGTGAACGACAAAAGAGATGTCGGGACGAGTGATGGTCAGATACAACAGACGGCCAACCAACCTTCTGTAGCTCGTAATGTCAGAAACAGGATCCCATATATCAATATGAATAAGATCAAAAAGAGATGGAGATAGATTATTGTTTGAGATGAAAGGCAAACGTCGTTGTTTAGCTAAGTGACATACACGACAATGTGAGTGATCGGAAAACTTTGTAATAGAAAGTTCATTAGTCATTGAGCTCAACTTTTGAAATGACAAATGACCAAGTCTGGTATGCCAAAGGGAAGAGTCTACACAGACAGAAACAAAAGAAGAAGGAACAGGGGGCACAAAGTCAGACTCGAAGAAATATAGATTGTATAAGAGTCTAGCCCTCCCAATCGTCGAGCACCGAGTACGTTCCTGAATAAGACAATAATCAGAAGAAAAAAGACATCGAAGGTTAGTGCGAAAAAGAAGAGCACTAACACTAATGATGTTGAAAGTGAAAGAGGGAACAAAGAGGACATTAGACAAGAGTAAATGATCATTCAGGGGAACTTTGCCAGCATGTGTTACCGAGAGCTGAACACCATTTGGTAATGTGACAGTACTCGGAACAATGGGCACAAGCTCAGAAAATAATCGTTTGTCAAAGCAAACATGAGCAGAGGCACCGGAGTCCATAATCCAAGACGAACTAACCATACCAGAAACTGAGGCAGCATTACAAACAAAAGCAGAGATCATGAAGGTGTTACCAGAATCTGGAGCAGACCCAGGAGCACCTGTCTCAGCAACCGTGGGTGTGGAAACATGAAGTCTGTCATTAATCTTGGCACAAAGAGCTTGAATCTGGCTCAAAGAAAGCTTTTCCACATCAGGACAGGATACAGGGGAAGCCTCAGAAACCATATTGGTGAAATTAGTAGCAGATCTCGATTTTTGCACCAAGGAAGAACGAGCTCCGGAAAAACCAGTAGACTTAGCTGAGGAAGAAGTCCTGTAGCCAGGTGGGTATCCATGGAGCTTGTAGCACTTGTTCACGGTATGACCATAGAGCCCACAGTGAGTGCAGAGGGGTCGTTGTTTGGTTTTGACAATCGATCCAGACATTGCTGAAATAGTCTCAGGAATAGGCAAGGATGATGTCTGAAAAACCACAGCATCAGAGGCTTTGGATGGCCTAATCAGACGTTGTTGCTCTCGTTGAATAACAAGGTTGAACGCCTGCTCCAAATCGGGGGGAGGTTGCAGAGCCAGGATATAGCTGCGAACATCATCATAAGCATCATTCAAACCGAAAAGAAAGTCGATGACAAAATCACCTTCGTTCTCATCAGCCCAGCGTTTGGAAAGTGCACAGCTACACAACCCACAAGTGCAGGAATGGTTGGCTCGGACAGACTTATACTCCTCCCAGACAGTAGTAATGGTTGTGAAATAAGTGGAGACATCCATAGTCCCCTGACGAAGATCACGTAACTTTTGCTTGATCTGGTACTTGCGAGGCGCATTACTCAGCTGATAGCGTTTGATGAGAAACAACCACATATTGCGGGCCGTGGTGACATACATCAAGCTCTGAGCAATATGCTCAACAACCGAATTCATAATCCAACCCATGACAATGGCGTTATTACGGACCCAAAAACGAAGGAGAGGATCGACATCATTAAGGCGAGGCAAAGAACCATCGACAAAACCGATTTTGTTCCTCCCTTCTAAAGCAACAGTGAAAGAACGAAACCAAGAGGGAAAATCAGCAGCACCTGTCAATGGTTTCGAAACGATATGCACTCCACCATGATCAGTAGAGGAAAGATAGTAAGGACTATCAAAATCAGGGGTTACAGCCGCCTGGGGTAAAATAACAGGGGCGGGAGGAACAACAGCAGGATCAAGATCTGCCATTGAAGAGAAAGCGAAAAAGCACCAGAAAGGAAATCTGGGAAAACAGGAAAAATGATGGAGGAAATCAGAGAGAGAGCTCTGATACCATTTTAGTAAATGATATTTGAATTTCTGAATACATTAATATGTCGCTGTACAATTGGTTTTATACAAAAATCTGTGTAATTAAAGAGAGATCAACTTTAGAAAATATCTTCGACAATATATATATCTGTGTTGAAGCCTGTATGTATATGTATATATATACACAGTTGCTAAGTACATGTATGTATTACATATATATATATATATGTGTGTGTTTAAGTGGAAGCATATATATACATATATGTGTATGTATAAAATGGATGGCCGGTGAGGAAATCGGACAAGTGGACGACTCTTGTTAATCTAAGCTTTGGACATGTTTGTTTATTTCACCACAATAATGGAACCCTAAGAATATTCCAGAAACTCTCACATTTATTCGCTTCGTACAGAATCATGCAACACGTGTCTATTAATATAAGTATATGTGTATTTGTATTTTAAAATATCACCAAAAGATGTTTAGTGGATCAACGATTGGGGGAAGCCTATAGTCTTAGTGGTCGGCATTGTATTTCACTTGCACATATTATATCCTGTACTTGTTCATTGACACGTGTCGAGATGTCAATCTCCTCTTATTCTAATTTCCCTATTTTTAACGTTGGAAATTGTTAGAAAGAGGCGTGTATGTATGTATGTATGTATGTCCTCGTTTGATTTGGGCTTTTATAGATGAATTTTAAGGCCCATTTATGGGTATTTTAGGGCTTCCATTTATTAGAGATGCTATGGGTTTTGGGCCTATGATAATACGTAAAAAAATATACGTACACGTATGTATGATGATTTTTTTATACCGTGTCCAAAAACACATTTTGTAGCTGCTGCACAACTCCTTATTTACGTGGGGGCCATAAATGTTTTATATTTATTTTTTGTGATTTTTAAAATTTATATTAAACAAATAGAACGTATTACTTTATCTCTATTATAATCTTAATTACTTTTTGAAACTTTGGATATTGTAATCTCTTGTGATGCTTTCGATCATAAATAAATATTTTATTGATGTTTACATGTGCACTCATTACATAAACCACTCAACCGAGGCCAACTTGAGATCTCTTTTAGTGATGTAAGATAGAAATTTCGAGAATTTTGATGCCGATAAAAAGGCATAATTATGTGGGGTTTTTGTGTTGGATACGATAATTTAGTTTGCTCTTTGGACATATGCCACATGCAAATTAAGTTAATCATATCATTATAAATAAAATCACATAGTAGGTAGTCCATTAATTTACAAGATTCCTAAGCTTTTCTCGTAAGAAAATTAGTCAATTACCTGAAAACGATTAGATAAGATGGGGAGAGAATTCTTATTTTAATTATTCAACTAAAACAATCATCAATTTTAGATATAATATATACACACACACATATAAAGAAATATTGGGCAACAACTATTTCATAAAAAAATGAAAATTTTTATATAAATACCCTAATTTTACAAAATATATCAAATAAATATATAGAGTTTTAATTTGGCCTAATCAATACCCCAAATATTAAAATATTCTAAATTGATATATCAAATATTGAAATATTCTAAATAAATATCTTAACTTATGAAATCGGTGTTAATTAAAAACATCGATCCTAAATTAGATATTAATTTTCTGATATAAAAACAAATTTCACGAAATCGATGATAATTCTCAATATCGACTCTTACGATGATTTATAAATTAGATGTTAATTTTTAACGTAAAAACGAATTAAAATTGTTAATTTTGTGATTAATAAATCTATTTGGATATTTTAACATTTGATGTATCAATTTAAAATATTTTAATATTTTAGATATCGATAAAATTAAAAGTTTAGATATCTATTTGATATATTTTACGAAGTTGAAGTTAAGGTATTTATATGAGATTCTTTCAAAAAAAACATTTACTGATATAACAACAAAAATGTCATCCAAATTATATTTATCCTCCGATTTAAATAAAAAATTAGAATCATTGTATAGTTAATTGGGAAAAATTTTCGTTATTTTTGTAATATTTTTCGCTTGGTAATTATATGGTTTTCTGTAAGTGGGATCCTACATAACTTATAGATCAGATCTCTTAGCTATTTATAATAATTAACTATTAGCGAAACAATAACAAGGCTCGAAGATTGACTTGGCTGCTTTTTTTATATATATATTTTGCACTTGGCTAGTTAATTTATATTCTATAGTGTGCATAAAAATATATAAATTATCTTTAGTGGTTCCAATTATGAAAAGTTTTTTTAATCGAATAATATGGATGGTTTGTAGAATATTAATATACTGTAATTTTATTTTTTTTCGATTTCGGTTTCTTATATATTAATGATTTAATTAAGAATAATGAAGATATATATAATTAAGTACTTGAAGATAAGTTTTTTTAAATGATTTTATATTCAAACTTGAATCCATGGGCTCGACGACTTATTCGTTATTTGCATTGAATATGTTTCCAAAAAACGAATCACATTATCACAGACATTGATTGCATTTCTTAGTAAAGTATTTCATGACAAAAGTATTTCAAGATATGTAAATACATATACCATACTTAGAAAAAATTGCAACACCTTATGATGGATTAGTACCATGTTTTATAATTAACCTCGTCATTGATAAGATTAAAAATATTTAAACATATTCTAATAAAATTTTAATTAATTTACATTTAATATTTTTCTCATTTTTCTACATCCTTTACTATATATAGATAATGTATGAAATAAATTATCACTCCAAATAAATAGCACTATCTATGGTTGCCTTTTTATAATTTTTATATTTTTTATCAGTTTAATATAATATTATAGACATGCATGCATGGTGTATTGCACGTGTCATGAGGTAAGCTCAATTATATTTATAAGAATCACTTCTCAAAATTACATATATATAAAAAAAATGAACAATAAGAATTTTAATCGGTGATAAAAAAAAATTCCACGTCTAACCCATAAAGGCAACAGTGCGCATATACTCAAGATATGCAAACATGTGTAAGAGAGAGCCCATTGTATATATATATATATAATAACTTGTTCGGTAACATATTTTATAATGATAATATTTATGCTATTTGGTTCTATGTAAATGTAATAGTTAAATACATACATACATATATATATATTTGTAGAAAATGTAGCAGTGGCTAGAAAAAGAAAAAGAAGGTATTACATGACCATTATAGTAATTTCACAAGATGAAAAAAAAATGGGCCTATGTGACGTGTCAAGATATGTCGTCTGATATGACGGATCTCTTCTATCAAAACCGCGATGAGGTCCAGTGGGCCCACTCATGTTGACTATACCTCTTTCATATCATTGGCCCACGTGTCCTCTGGATAAAGTTCCTACAAATTTCACTTATCTATCCATATAATTAAAGAGGTAATTGGTTTTAAAAAAAATGTGTATATATATATATATATATATATATTTTTTTTTGAAACAACTGTGTAATCCACGACATTAAAAAAGATGTAATAAGATAGATTTTAATAGGTAGATGTAAATAACAGGTCAGGCTGCAGTAGGTCCACGTGTTAGTTCCGACGTGTCGATCTTAGAATAAGAGGTTATGATCCGACGTGTCATTTGAATGATATGACTGCCGAGGCAGGGCTATGTTCTCATGCTTACATCCTCACCGAACTTCCGGTGCGCTTGCCACTACAAAACCTGGGGATCAAGTAATTTTTTACTCCACTTATGTCGTGTTTTGTACAAATGGGAAATGACGTCACAGTTCCTTAGGCCCAACCCAATAATCAAATATTATATATAGATGATAAAATGATAATAATAATAATATTTTTTTTTTGAGATTTTATAGAAAAGGTTAGTTTATCAAAACAAAAAATTTCAACACATGATAATGTGGTCCAATATGTTAGTGATAAGACGGTGACTTAATCAACTCACCAATGACGTGTTATATAATATAAGTTAGGGACAGATTACAGAGGATAATAAACTATTGCCGCCAGTCTTGTTTCAAGACCAAACATTACGTAAATATTTTTTTTAATCAATATGAAAAAACATAACACCACAGAAAGAAATGAGAAAACCAGATCTCCATAAAAAATCTTATATTTTTTAATTTATATCAAATTGATGTTTAAATTTTTAATATCAAAATTATAACAAAGAAATCATTCATAACTAACCATGATTTACTAAAAAATTAATAAATTAACTTATAATTATATAAAAGCCCTAATTTTTTTAATACTATAAAATTCGTTATAAACGAATAGAATCGTGTTAGGATTCTGATATTGAAATCTGAATATTCTTTCGTTAATAATAATAATAATCCGTTAAAATATAAAAAAATAAAATTTATTTGAAATTCAATATATAATGTATTAAAAATTAAACTTATGTATAAATATAATAAATTAATGAATTGAATATATTTATATGAAAATTATTCCAATCATCTTATAAATTTTGTAGTAAATTCAACACTTGAAATTTTATTTTTGTATACGATAATAGTAATAATAATAACAACAACAACAATAATCCGTTAAAATATAAAAAAAATTATAAGTTTATTTCAAATTCAATATTAATGTACATTAAAAATAAAATTTATGTATAAATATAATAAACTAAAGAGTTGGATATCTTTTTATGAAATTCTCCCAAGCATCTTATAACTCTCATAGTAATTGACAATATCTGAAATTTTTTTATTTTTGTATACGAGAATACTGCCGAAAAAAAAACACACACGAGTAAAACCAAAGGAGAAATGCAAGAATCAGGAGGTAGAGAACACGATAAGAACGTGAGGACCGCCGTATCCTAACTTTCTTCCTTTTCTCCTTTCTCTTTTGTCTTCTTCTTTGTCGTTTAGTCGTAACTCACAGAACCAATGAGCTTATCTATCTATTTTATTACACATCTATAAATGTTGTCTCAACATCTCTATCCAATGCCTCCAAAATTCACAAACCCACAAGAAACAACACTACCCTTAACTTATATTTTGAGAATTTAGGAAAAAGATCATACCTTTACCTTCTCCTTCTTCGTTTTTTCTGGTAAATTTTGAAGAGTTGCAGAGAAAAGATCATTCATTTTCTCTCTCTTTGGTCATCAATGGCGTCAAGGAAGCTCTTTTATGGGAAACCGAGTTACATTTATCCATACCCAGAAACAGAAACTTCCCAAAACGACCATAATCTCTTCGACTTCGACGAATCCGATCTCTATAACCATGACAATCAATTTCCCACTTCGTTCGACGCTAAAAAGCCGATACCCATTTTGCGATCGTCGAGAAAACCGGCGAAAACCGCCGATTCCGCCTCCGGTAACCGGAAAACCAAACCCACCTCCGGTTCGCTACCGGTTAACGTCCCTGACTGGTCGAAGATTCTGAAGAGCGAATACAGGTGCCGGTGTAAGAGAGACGGCGACGACTACGACGACGACGATGACGAAGACGGCGGCGGAGGCGGAAGGGTGAGAACTCCGCCGCATGAGTATTTGGCGCGGCGGAGAGGATCTTCGTTTTCGGTGCACGAAGGGAACGGTCGGACTCTGAAGGGAAGAGATCTATGGAGGGTGAGGAACGCGATCTGGGAGAAGACTGGGTTTCAGGACTAACGTAATTGTTAATATAATTATTAGTTATAAAACATAATTAATAATTTTGGCTTATATATTTATATAGATGTGATTTAACTAGCTGGATTGAGTTTTTGTCTGAGTTCATATTTTTACGGATTCGAAAGGGCGATTTTGGTTTTCCTTTTTTGTTCTTGTTGATCATCTCTCGTGTTTCCTGATTTGGGACCCTCATGGTTGACGGTGGATTCACTTGCGCTAACCACTCCTTGCGAGTGTTTAGATGAACAACCAGTGAATGACTCTGGTTTTTTTTTTTTTTTTTTTTTGGTAAGCCGACTTTAATTTTGATGATATTAATGATCCTCTGTTTTCTCCAATCATTTTTGTTCGTAAGTAATATTTTATGGCGTGGATATATATATCGATTTAATTATATATAAGTATTCAAATTACACCGATTGATCTAACTTTATTATGATTTTTTTTTAAATCGTGAAATGTTTCAATTTGAATATGATGTAAAATGAATGTAAAAATTATCGAGCGACAACATTTTTATAAATAAATGGTTTTTCTAATAAGTAAAAAAATAAATAAGAATAAAATACAAAAATCAATTATACACAATTTTATAACAATAGAATTACATATACATTACATGTAGTTTTCACATAAGTCTTGTTATGCAATTTTAGAATGTATAGAACCGTACACAACAGTTTATTGTCATGAGAAAATATCTATTTCATGGGGACATTGATCAATATAGAAAACGACAACAATGTACGCATAATTCTAGTGTTTTTTGTCATCAATACGACATTATATATATACACACACAAATTATAAGAGAATGTATATATTATAAATGCTACTCTCTTCGTTTTTTAATAATTATCGTTTTAAAGTTTTTCACACTTTTTTAAAAAAATATTAAAAAATTTATACACCCTTATTTAATATAGATTTAATGATAAAAATAACATGATTATTGAAAATTTATTGGAATTGTATTAGTTTCAATTAATTATAAAATTAGAGATTATTTTAAAAAATTATCTAAAAACAGTAGAATTACATATATCTAAAAACAAAAATAATTGTCTAAAACGTTAATTATTATGAAACTGAGGGAGTAATTGCTAAATATATCAAATCAATTAGGTATGTGTGTAAATATATTGAAAAATAGTCAATAAATGAGGTGGTTTATTTTTCAAGAAATTTTTTTTTATGGACAAATCAATTAGGCGGAGAAGAAATGCAATGAAATCGAGCATATAATGTAAGGTTTTGAAGAAACTAAATTGGACTTGGACGATATATGAACTGTACAATTGCCAAAGGGCCCCTACTTTCTTCTTTGATTTGATATTTTTTCCCTTTATTTTACATTATTCGATCGAGGAAAGCTATATAATTGCAAAATTAAAAAACAAAAAAGAAAATGTAAAAAGCTTTTTCTATGGTGGAATTTGTGGAAAGCAACGTAAAAAGATTGACAACACCAAGGCTAAGTTGTAATTATTTTACATACATACACGCATACACAAGAAACTAACGAGGATGTGACTTTTAAAAAATAAAACATAATGAGAACTAATAAAAAAATCTAAAATAAAACAAATAAAATTGGGTGGTTTGATAGAAAATTTAATCATATTATTAATAGAAATGTAATTTTAAAAGATAGGTAATCAATTGGATGATGTTGTTGTTGTTGTTACTTGTTATTATTACAAGCACCCTTAAAACCATATATATATATATATATATATATATATTCAAAATCTAAAGAAAAATACTCCCGGAAAAGAACAAATTTTTTTTATTATATTATATTTCAGCAAATTTCATCTAAATTTGCGTATTATGTTTTTACGGCAGATGTTGGTGTTGAACTTTTAGACATATATTAAAATAATATTAGTTCAAGCTTATGCGTCGACAAATATCGGTGGTAGAAATACCCTTTTTCACATTCACAAGAATTTCATCATAATTCACAACCCTAATATTAAAAACCTATCGTCATTTTTGTGTGGCAAAATTATATATTTTTTTTATCAAAATAAATTATATTTTTTAAACCATAATATGCTATTGGACAAACCATTCTTGTATTTTATATTTGGAATAAATTAATGGATACCAAACATCGTTCAATTTAAACCATAAGTTTATAAAGTCATTTGTTTAAATCATCATCTTTTTTTTTTTATGTTCATTGTTTCCGCCTTTTTCAATTTCATAAAAAAGAAAACGGGAAATAATTACTTCAATGTGAAATTTATATGACATATCAAATCCAAAAGTCGTGTTCATTGGCCACCTTTTTGCTTTGCAACAACAGCATTCAAGATTTCCGGATATCTTTTCTTTTTTAGAAAACAAAGAGATAAATATATAATGGAAGAGACATACGTAATATTTTATCATATAAATACGAAAACTACTATTTAATTACAAAAATAATGGAATATAAAATGGATAACGGAGAGAGATGGTGTAAGCTGTGGGCTTATTTTCTATGAGCAGGGCAGGGCACACAGAGATGGAAAGTGGTAGTAAATAATAATAATAATAATAATAATAATAATAATAATAAATCTGGTCCAAAGTTAACGTCTCCACTGTAAGAAGACTCGAAAGCAACACTCTTGCAATATTTTTTTAGTGAAAATTTTCTATAAAACACTGAAAAAACATCGTACAAACTTTTAAATTCTGAAAAAATAATATGATTTTACGTTAAAAATTCTATATTATTTGTAAATTTTAAGATAAATTTTATTTTAACATCAAATGATCAAAATCTTGACAAATATTAATCCATTCCTTAACGACGTTACGACAAATCGATATTTAATATGTTAAACCGTAAATATGATATGACTCCAGTCCACACATTACATTTTTTTTTGGTGAAATAGTTGCTCATGTTACGTCATATTCTTTAAAAGAATTAAAAAGATAAAAATAACAAAAACAAAAATATAGATTACATATATATACACACATTCATATAATGCATACACACAATTATGCATTTATGCATACATGTATATACATACACAGCAGTGGACCGAGAGTAATTTATAATCGGAAGTATTGATTTATGGGTTAAAATTTTATTTTTCTAAATAAAACAGCGAGCCTGTGACTCCATTGTCAAAGAGTTAGGTCCGCCTCTACATATACATATATGAATGTATGTACAAAATTTTGTTGCAAAATATTTTATATGAGAAATCTTTTTTTAAATAATAACTTGTGGCATTTTAGCTTTTTTCGGTTCAGTTTATATTTCACAAAACATATTTCGACCTTTTGATGAAATTGTAAATTCAATGTTTTACTCATAAGACGAGATCCAAATGCCACACACACACACATATAATATGGGTGTAATTTTATATACAACACAGTACGGAAACATCAACATGCAATAACGGGGAACAAGGGAGGATTTGTCCGCCCAATAGGAAAAAACAAAGACACGAACGAAACGGTGAACACACGCAGCCAACCACACTTTGCAGTCCAAAGGTAACAAGATAAAACACCACCACCAAAACCAAAAACCACCGACGCATCTCCCTCGCTACCCAAGTGCGCGCACACACATTCTTTAGAAGCTTCCGCCGCGAAGACGAAGGACAAGGTGAAGGGTCGATTCCTTCTGGATATTGTAATCAGCTAGGGTGCGTCCATCCTCCAGCTGCTTCCCGGCAAAGATGAGCCTCTGCTGGTCGGGTGGGATCCCTTCCTTGTCCTGGATCTTCGCCTTTACGTTGTCAATGGTATCCGAGCTCTCCACCTCGAGAGTTATGGTTTTCCCCGTGAGGGTCTTCACGAAAATCTGCATTCCACCACGAAGACGGAGAACCAGGTGGAGGGTGGATTCCTTCTGGATGTTGTAATCAGCCAGGGTCCGACCATCCTCGAGCTGCTTCCCAGCAAAGATGAGTCTCTGCTGGTCCGGAGGGATTCCTTCCTTGTCCTGTATCTTTGCCTTCACATTGTCAATGGTATCCGAGCTCTCAACCTCTAGAGTGATGGTCTTTCCTGTGAGAGTCTTGACGAATATTTGCATACCACCACGGAGACGAAGGACAAGGTGAAGGGTGGACTCTTTCTGGATGTTGTAGTCTGCAAGGGTTCGTCCATCCTCCAGCTGTTTGCCAGCAAAGATGAGCCTCTGCTGGTCCGGAGGGATCCCTTCCTTATCCTGAATCTTCGCCTTAACATTGTCAATGGTATCTGAGCTCTCAACTTCAAGAGTTATGGTTTTCCCCGTGAGGGTCTTGACAAAGATCTGCATACCACCGCGAAGACGGAGAACCAGGTGGAGGGTGGATTCCTTCTGGATATTGTAGTCAGCAAGGGTTCGTCCATCCTCCAGCTGTTTGCCAGCAAAGATGAGTCTCTGTTGGTCCGGAGGGATTCCTTCCTTATCCTGGATCTTTGCCTTGACATTATCAATTGTGTCAGAGCTTTCAACCTCGAGGGTGATTGTTTTGCCGGTAAGGGTCTTGACGAAGATCTGCATACCACCACGGAGACGAAGGACCAAATGGAGAGTGGATTCTTTCTGGATATTGTAATCAGCAAGGGTCCTTCCGTCCTCGAGCTGTTTGCCAGCAAAGATAAGCCTTTGCTGGTCCGGAGGGATTCCTTCCTTGTCCTGGATCTTTGCCTTCACGTTGTCAATGGTATCAGAGCTCTCAACCTCGAGGGTGATCGTTTTGCCGGTAAGAGTCTTCACGAAGATCTGCATACCACCTCTCAACCGGAGAACCAGGTGGAGAGTTGATTCCTTTTGGATGTTGTAGTCAGCAAGGGTCCTTCCATCTTCGAGCTGCTTACCAGCAAAGATGAGTCTCTGTTGGTCTGGAGGGATTCCTTCTTTGTCTTGAATCTTTGCCTTTACATTGTCAATGGTGTCGGAGCTTTCAACCTCGAGGGTGATCGTTTTACCGGTAAGAGTCTTTACGAAGATCTGCATACCACCTCTTAACCGGAGAACCAGGTGGAGAGTCGATTCCTTTTGGATGTTGTAGTCGGCCAAGGTGCGGCCATCCTCAAGCTGTTTGCCGGCAAAGATAAGCCTTTGCTGGTCCGGAGGAATTCCTTCCTTGTCCTGGATCTTTGCTTTGACATTGTCAATGGTGTCCGAACTCTCAACTTCGAGAGTGATGGTCTTGCCGGTGAGGGTTTTCACAAATATTTGCATCTGGCGACAGAATTCCAGACAATAACTTATCAGCACGGGCAACCAAAACAGAAATCGAGCAAATGTTCCACCAAGGCTGTTTTCCAGCACAACCCTAATCGTAACTACTCAGCACAGAAAATACGGCTAGAAATCGCAGAGACAACACAAAGGGTAAAAAGAGAACAACTTGCAAAGATAGACACACAAACAGAAAAAGATCCCACACAAGGTCCTTATAAAACAAATCAGATAACGCAAAAGCCCTATATCTAAGGAATCATGCGATCAAACGCAACACTCAATAGAACTAAACGATAGTACCAAATTACCACACGAAAATTCGAAAACAGATGCGGAAGCAGTTCTACCGGAGAACAAACCACGAATCTCAGATCTCACCACAATCAGACAAACGAACAATCATCATAATTTCAGAATCAGGGAACAAGACCAGCATACGATAATCCATCAAGACGATGTAAAGAATAAACGACGAAGAATTGGAGGGCATCATCAAATCTCAGAACGAAAATCATAGAAGAAAACAAGAGAAGAACATGCAAGAACCCAAGATAATCTACAAGGAGAAACCGATCAAGAGGGACATACCTTGAGACAGATAATCGAGAAAATTCAGAGGAGCGATTAGGGTTTGAGAGAGAAGAAGAACGGATACAATGTATTCTGATACCAAGAAAAGGTCCTTTTATACAGCAGCGACAGATCCAGGAAATGGTAAAGGAGAAGAAAATAGAAAATATCCCAAAAATAATTAATAATATCCTAAAAATAAAAAATAAATAATAAAACTTAAAATTGGTAGATGATGACGTGTCTCAATTATTACCGTTCGTTTGGAAGACCGACTCAACAAGAAACAACTTGCGTTTGGATTACGTCAGAAATTACTTTCCCTCGACGGCAATATCTACCTTATGTATAATATAATTCCTTTTTTTTTTATATGTTAATATAATAATAATTAAATTCTTTGGCAATATATAAAAAAACAAAAGCTAATATTTTAGTTATTTAGTAAAATATCCAATTTTTAATTTGTAAAAGAAAAGTTGTCATTTTAAAGGGGAAGTTATGGTGACAAAAATGGAGGATTTCCATTTAAAAATCCACCTTCGTTGCATTTCAGAAAATTTGTTAAATTTATAATATAACATACCAAGAAGGCTACATGTAATTCGCATATACATGTGCATATACGAGTAAACGTGCGTACATATACGTACATTCATACATCTATATATATTTGTGTCAAGACCTTCTAGATGGAGGAGAGGGTTCACAAAATCAAATAGGAGAAAAATGAGGGAGACTGCGGAGCTTCTTCCCTCTCTTCACTGCTTTAGACTCGTTCTCTCTCTCTCTCTCTCTCTCTCTCTCTCTCTCTCTCTCTCTCTCGTTTGCTCAAAATGAGGATCACTGTCCGATCATTTCTGTTTGTAACAATCTGTCGTGTCTTCCTCCTTCTCTGTTACTGCTCCGTTGCTTTTCAGACACCGAGATTGGTTTCCAATGGCGTTTATGAGGCTCGGCTCCAAATCCGAAGCCTTCCATCGGGAAGGTCAAACATGGTATTCGTTTCTGCATTTGCCTCCTCCCATTCCCTCCTTCGCTGCTCACATGTTCATGAATTCGATGAATTTGCTGATGGGTCTTTAGTTTCGGTCAGGAATTGCAATGGGTTTCTCGTTACCGTAGAAAATTTCGACACATTCCGTGATTAGTGGCTCTTTTTATTTTGAATTTCTGAAATCGAAATGGGTCTTTTGCTTAAACTCTTCATCTCCAATGGAATCGCTGAGGGAATCTTGTTTTCGTTCTGAATTGGCATGAACGGTTCTCTGTTAATTTCTATTCTGAATTCGAAAATTAGACAACCCCTTGAGAAAATGATGGATCATAATGCAATCTAGTCTGTTTATGAACCGATTCTCCATGGTTTGTCTTCTCGTGTGTCATCTGCAGGCTTTGTACCACAGGGCTTGTAAGCGATGTGACAATAGAAGTCTTAGACATGACATTTCACCTCCATAAGGTTCATCTCTCTTCTTCTCCTAATCAGACAACATGTAGCAGAAGATGAGTTCTCATGCTTTGTATAAAAATGGCTGCAGTTCCCATTGCTATCTCGAAGTGGACTTCTCGAGAAACTCATCGAGGAGAGTTCAAATGCCGATGGCTCGGCTTGTGTTTTGAAGCTCGACGATATCCCGGGAGGAGGAAAAACGTTCGAGCTCGTGACCAAATTCTGCTACGGTGTGAAAATCGAGCTAACGGCTATGAATGTCGTCAGCCTCAGATGTGCGTCCGAGTACCTTCAGATGACGGATAACTATGGAGATGGGAATTTGGTCGGTATGACCGAGGGTTTCCTCAACGAGGTGTTCGGAAACTGGACAGATTCCATCAAAGCTCTTCAAACGTGCGAAGAGGTCGTGAATTACGCTGAAGAGCTTCACATTATCTCGAGGTGCGTCGATTCCTTGGCTATCAAGGCTTGTGCTGACCCGAGCCTTTTCAACTGGCCAGTTGGAGGGAAGAATATTAGTGCGCGGATCAGAGAAGATGATGCCAGTTTGTGGAACGGAATCTCGGCTTCCGGAAGGTGTCAACCTACTGGTGAAGATTGGTGGTTCGATGATGCCTCATGTCTCAGCTTATTCCTGTTCAAAAGACTCGTTCTAGCCGTAGAATCTCGAGGAATGAAACCCGAGAGTATAGCTTCGGCTGTCATGTACTATGCCAGGAGGCATATCCCTGTAATGAACAGACAAGTGAACATGGATGAGCAAGTGTCGGTAGAGATGTTATCTCCTTCGGAAGCCGAGCAAAGGGTTTGTCTCGAAGAGATCGTTGGCTTGCTTCCAAGCAAGAAAGGAGTAACCCCAACGAAATTTCTTCTTCGGCTGCTTCAGACGGGTATGGTGTTACATGCAAGCCAGTCATCTAGAGAAGATCTCGAGAAACGGGTCGGTCTCCAGCTGGATCAAGCTGCTCTCGTGGATCTTCTCATACCGAATATCGGCTACTCGGAGACACTTTACGATATAGATTGCGTCCTGAGGATGATTGAGCATTTCGTCTCGGCTGAACAAGGAGGAGGAGTCATGGCTTCTCCTCCTTGCATCATGGAGGAAGGACAGCTGGTGAAAGAAGGGGCTGATGCTCTAACGCCATTGACAATGGTGGCAAATCTGATAGATGGGTATCTAGCCGAGGTTGCTCCAGACGTTAACCTAAAGCTCGTGAAGTTCGAAGCCATTGCTTCCGCCATTCCCGACTATGCAAGGCCCCTTGACGATGGAGTTTATCATGCGGTAGACGTGTACTTGAAGGTAAAAAAACTGATTCTAACCATGGATTTCCAAGACTTGGATTGATCTTCGAGCTCCGAAAATTTTGCAGGCGCATCCATGGATCACGGATTCAGAGAGAGAGCAGATATGCAGGCTGATGAACTGCCAGAAACTCTCGTTGGAAGCCAGCACGCACGCAGCTCAGAACGAGAGGTTACCTCTTCGAGTAATCGTTCAGGTTCTTTTCTTCGAGCAACTTAGGCTAAGAACGTCTATATCGGGATGGTTCTTCGTCTCTGAAAACCTCGAGAACGGGGAAAACCCTAGCGGGACCGTGAAGGAACGGGTCTCGGAGCTCGAAAAGGAGTGCATGAACATGAAGCAAGAGCTACAGAAGCTGGTGAGGACGAAGAGGAGCTGGAAGAATTTCACTAGGAAGTTGAACTTCAAGAAGAAATCAGAGTGTTGCAAGCCAAAGGATCAAACACCTACAGTTTAGAAAAAAAAAACTGAAATTTAGAATTCTTGGAAGAAAAAAAAACATGTCAGATCTTTCTGTTTTGTTGTTCTTGTATGTTTTGTCTGTTTTTCTTTGCCTTAGTTTGAAATATTACTGAGATTCTTCTCTTTCTGCACATTGAATAGGAAAAGTGTTCATTAGATTTAATTATTACAAATAAATGAATCTTATTGTTAGATTTTGTTAATTACAATAAGGGAAACTTGAAAAAAAAAGAGCTCTCAACATTTAACGTGTCTATAAATGTCGGTTTTGAGGCGGTATAAATGTCGGTTAGCAATAAACCGGTCGGTACGAACTAGGACGGTCCCGGTTGGAGGAAGAATATGACCGGGGTCATGTACGGGTCCGGAGGGCAGAAGCCGAAGTGACTCATTGTCTTTTGTGCCCAGATGGGAGATTCAGATGATAGGAAGTTAGCAAGGGAATCTGTAATTTGCCGCGCAATCATAAGGAAAATCGTCGGTTAGAAAGGGTTTTCTTGGGGAATTTTATTTTTAAGGAAAATAAACTGCGTGCAGTTTCGTTATTATACGTACGTACTTCTTGCCGTTTGAGATGAGCCCATCCGTAGTGTTAACTTTTCAGAAACTACACGGTGTTTCTATCTACGAGAAGGAAATGCGTTCGCGCGGTGTGAAGCGACGAAGAGACGCAACCTCGCATAAAAACTTGCTGCGTTCTTCTGTGGCTCGAGGTGATGATCATGGCTGCACAGCTCGCGAGACGGCTGATCGGAAGGTGGTCGACCCAGATCCTTGGAACTGCCAACCATAGCTCCGGTACGGTTACGTCTTTCGCTAGGCCTTTCTCATCCTCGCCGATCACCGCAACGCTCGAGTCTTCACGAAGATCTGCATACCACCTCTCAACCGGAGAACCAGGTGGAGAGTTGATTCCTTTTGGATGTTGTAGTCAGCAAGGGTCCTTCCATCTTCGAGCTGCTTACCAGCAAAGATGAGTCTCTGTTGGTCTGGAGGGATTCCTTCTTTGTCTTGAATCTTTGCCTTTACATTGTCAATGGTGTCGGAGCTTTCAACCTCGAGGGTGATCGTTTTACCGGTAAGAGTCTTTACGAAGATCTGCATACCACCTCTTAACCGGAGAACCAGGTGGAGAGTCGATTCCTTTTGGATGTTGTAGTCGGCCAAGGTGCGGCCATCCTCAAGCTGTTTGCCGGCAAAGATAAGCCTTTGCTGGTCCGGAGGGATTCCTTCCTTGTCCTGGATCTTTGCTTTGACATTGTCAATGGTGTCCGAACTCTCAACTTCGAGAGTGATGGTCTTGCCGGTGAGGGTTTTCACAAATATTTGCATCTGGCGACAGAATTCCAGACAATAACTTATCAGCACGGGCAACCAAAACAGAAAACTGTCGACGCTCTTCCCTGGCGACGGGATCGGTCCCGAGATCGCCGAATCTGTCAAACAGGTCCGTTCTTCGTAATCGGGTTTCTTCTATAACTATTATTCGTTCATTATATGGGAAGGAGAGGATTGCGTCATTGTTTTTTTGGTTGGATTTGCGAGTTTGATTTTTTTTTTGTTTTGTCTGGTTTGACCGATGCATACTACTTTGATGTTAAGATTGGGTTGTTTAGTGTTTTGTTTCCGAAGGGTTGACTGTGGTTTTCTTTCATTATGCCTTATAATTTTGAGTTCTGGGAGCATGATTACCAAGGGGTTGATTCAGGCTGACTGGAGAATTGTAGAAAGTCCTGATGGCTTTGTAAATTGTGATGTACCATGGGGAGATTAGAATCTCAGCGCGTAGAATTTTGTGCATTTTCTGCTGCTGATGGTCGATTTCTGTGAAAGTTTCTAACTTTATGCCGATGCAGGTGTTTAATACTGCTGGGGTTTCTGTTGAATGGGAAGAACACTATGTTGGGACTGAAATAGATCCTAGAACACAGAGCTTTTTGACATGGGAAAGTCTCGAATCTGTCCGGAGAAACAAGGTTGGCTTGAAAGGACCAATGGCAACACCGATCGGGAAGGGTCATCGTTCTTTGAACTTGACTCTTAGAAAAGAGCTGAACTTGTATGCCAATGTCAGGCCTTGCTACAGTCTTCCTGGATACAAAACCCGATACGATAATGTTGATCTTATAACCATCCGTGAGAACACAGAAGGAGAGTACAGTGGTCTCGAACATCAGGTCGGTTTTGTTGGTGTGTTCAGATAGTGACCCTTTGTTTATTCATCCCTTTGAAATTTTTTACCGATGTTTGTTTCTTGCTTTTGGTTTGGTAGGTCGTTAGAGGTGTTGTGGAAAGTCTTAAAATCATTACCCGTCAGGCGAGTTTGAGAGTGGCTGAGTATGCATTTCACTATGCCAAGACTCATGGAAGAGATAGAGTGTCTGCAATTCACAAAGCCAATATTATGCAGAAAACCGATGGTCTCTTTCTCAAGGTTTGCTCATCTGACAAAAACTCTGGAATGCATTATCACCTTCTTAAATGAAATACAACGAGAGAAAAGTAGTCTAGCTAGCTTGTTTTTGCTGGTTGTTCTGATACAAGGTGGCGTTTATATTTCCTATTTTCTTTCCAGTGCTGCCGTGAGGTTGCAGAGAAGTATCCTGAGATTGTATACGAGGAGGTTGTCATTGACAACTGCTGTATGATGGTATGTTACATGCATTATTCAAATTATGATTTTCTTGATCGGGTTTGTGTGACAGTGCTTAGGGTTAGCTTGTAGATTTGATCATTTACATATTGAAGCAACATTGCTCTATGAGTTCCGCTATAACTAAACCGGGAATGAGTTAATTTTAGAAAAGGGTCTTTTGGGTAATAATACATGACCAGCAATCTTGATGTAAACAGCTTGTAAAAAATCCGGCACTTTTTGATGTCTTGGTAATGCCAAACCTCTATGGTGACATTATCAGTGACTTGTGCGCTGGACTGGTTGGAGGACTAGGCTTGACTCCGAGGTAAAATTTTGGATCCTTCATCTCGTATAATTCTTACGAGTAGCGAGCCTATTCATCTAATGCCTAATCATCCTTGATGCAGTTGTAATATCGGGGAAGGTGGTATTTGCCTTGCTGAAGCTGTGCATGGTTCTGCTCCTGATATTGCTGGAAAGGTTTGTCCTTTGAAAGCTATTTGGCCATTTTCCATCTTTCTCACCTTCCTCTTGTCTGCATTTTTCTTGGTTGAACATTCAGAAATAGTACTTTCGGTGAACCGGGTAAATGATCTGCTTCTAGTTTTAGAAAATTTTGACATCTAGGTAGTAGATTTAGATGCTTAATCGGGTTATAAACCATTGTTAATGACTAGCAAAAGTAGCTGCTACTGCAATGAAACTTCTCATTCTTGTGAGACTGAAATCTGTATCTATCTGCTCTGTGCTTAAACGGCATTTTCGGGTTTTTGATTCATTTTTTTTTATGGAACAGAACCTGGCAAACCCGACAGCTCTGCTTCTGAGCGGAGTGATGATGTTGCGGCACTTGAAGCTCAACGAGCAAGCCGAGAGGATCCACAATGCCATCATCAACACCATAGCCGAGGGCAAGTTCAGGACAGCGGATCTCGGGGGAACTTCAACCACGACAGAGTTCACGAATGCAATCTGCGATCATCTCTGAACCCACCCGTAAAAATCATCAAAAAATCATTTTCCCTCTTGAATCTCTCTCTACTCAATTTGCAACTTGATTCGTCTTCAGGGGGCTTAGCCTTTTGATTCTTGATGTTTTTTTTTCCTACAAGGAGAGAATAATAAAAAAAAAAACATGGCATTGCCATTAGCCCCTGATCATGATATGATCATTGAGGCCAAAGATTGATAACAGGAAGGAGATGTTGTCCAAACCCATCACCAAGGGGAAGGGGTGGTTTGTTTCAATATTAATGGCAGTTCTGGCTGGCTAATTATATTTTGTTTATTCCCTTTTGATTTTTTTAAAAAAAATAAAACATACTGTATCCTTGTATTCAACAGTATTCTTAATACATAAAGAATAAATTGAGAGTTGTATAACAAAATAATCTCAATTTATTGAACACATAATTAATCGTCATCATTATTTATTGAGAGAGTGATGAAAATTAGTACTCTTGAACATTATTTATTATAATGTTCTTGGAAAAAGATTAATTAGGAAATAATAAACACTAACTAAATGGGAAATATAATCTGAAAGTGCTCAAAGCAATCATCTGTCTTCTAGTGCCTTTTAACATCAGACATATAGCAGAGCAAGTTTCTCGTGATGAGCAGAGCCAAATCAGCTAACTGTAGAGGTCATCTTCATCGGCGGCCGCAGCAGAAGAAGTGGAAAAAGGGTCAGCGGTGGCTGCAGTGCCAGTAGCCTCTGAGAATCTGAACTCACTTCCAAAGCCTCTTGATTGCTGCAGCGTCTGGGCAAAGGCTTGGTACTTGCGGATATCCGCATCGCTCACACTTCTTCTTGCGTATTTCATCGATTCCTCGAAATGAGCTGCTTTAATCTCCGCCACCTCTTCCTCCCCCTCCACCTCGTCTTCCTCCATTGCTTCCTGGTTTTTCCTCCTCCTCCTTTCCCTCTCGATGTCCTGAAACAAACCCTTGCTGGTTAGAAATCGGATCGAGAATTTTGATGTAAAGGTAAATCCTTTGTCTACGAACGATAATATACCTTCTCGATGTTTTCTCTAATCGCATATTTGCAAGCCCTCTGGCAAATCTCGGTGATATCGGCTCCACTGAATCCCTGGGTGTATTTGGCGAGTGCCCTGAGGTCGACATCTTTAGCCACAGGGGATTTCCTCAGGCATGCCTTGAAGATCTGGAGACGAGATTCTTCATCGGGAAGGGGAATGTAGATGAGCTGGTCGAGCCTTCCAGGACGGAGGAGAGCCGGGTCGATTATGTCAGGTCTGTTGGTTGCTCCGATGATAAAGACGGTCTTTTTGGCGTTCATTCCATCCATCTCGGTAAGGAGTTGGTTCAGCACTCTGTCAGCTGCACCACCTGCATCGCCCACACTGCTTCCTCTCTGAAAAGAAAAAGCAAAGTACAAAAAGACAGACAGATTTAGCTATGGAAATCGGAAAAAGGTCCCTGAATGTATAGGAAGAATGTTATACAAAACCTGAGTAGCAATAGAGTCGAGCTCGTCAAAGAATAGGACACAAGGAGCTGACTGACGAGCCTTGTCAAAGATTTCACGAACGTTAGCTTCACTTTCTCCAAACCACATTGTGAGAAGTTCCGGACCTTTGACACTGATGAAGTTTGCTTGGCACTCGTTAGCAATGGCCTTGGCCAGCAGGGTTTTCCCACATCCGGGAGGGCCATAGAAGAGGACTCCCTTTGATGGAGACATTCCAAACTTCTCGAACTTCTCTGGGTGCTCCACAGGGTATTGGACGGTCTGTATTGCACAAAAAGCATGGATCTTTAGATCTGTAAACTTGTTAAAATGCACATGATTATCGGTTTTGGCAATAGCAATTACCTCCTGAAGCTCCCTCTTGACGTTCTCGAGACCTCCAATATCCTCCCAAGAGACATTGGGCACTTCAACAACCTGTAAAGTAAACAATTAAATACCGAAAAAGGTGAGAGCAGAGCTCTCAATCAAAAGAAGCGGATGGATTGCTGGTTCGAAAAAGTAAACATTGCCAACACTCACAGTTTCACGAAGAGCGGATGGATTGCTGTTTCCAAGAGCAGTCTGGAAGTGTTCGTTGGTCACTGCCATTGAGTTGAGGATTTCAGCATCTATTGAGTCATCTTCCAAATCAATCACATCCATCTTCTCCCTGATGCATTGGAGGGCAGCCTCAGTGCACAGAGCTGCAAGATCAGCACCGACATAACCGTGTGTGTCCTTGGATATCCTTTCGAGATCAACCTGAATAAGAAAAATCATGTTACAGAGTTTCGATCCAGTAAACATACACTGGGGAACATAAGCGAACAGGCAGGGCAAGAATTAGAATTTACATCTTCAGCTAGCTTCATGTTCTTTGTGTGGATCCTGAGGACTTCAAGACGTCCAACTTCATCAGGAACTCCGATATCGATCTCCCTGTCAAATCTTCCAAACCGTCTCAAAGCTGGGTCAATGCTGTTTGGACGGTTGGTTGCTCCAATGACAATAACGTGAGAACGAGCTTTGAGCCCATCCATAAGTGTAAGAAGTTGGGAGACAATCCTCCTCTCAACTTCTCCATTTGTCTTCTCCCTTTTCGGTGCAATGGAATCAATCTCATCGATGAAAATGATAGACGGGGCGTTCTTCTCAGCTTCCTCAAATGCTTTTCGTAGGTTACTCTCACTCTCACCAGCAAGTTTGGACATGATTTCAGGTCCATTGATACAGAAGAAGAATGCTCCAGTCTCGTTAGCCACAGCACGAGCAATTAAAGTCTTACCAGAACCAGGAGGGCCATAAAGCAGAATTCCCTTCGGTGGCTTCACACCGATTGACTTGAATAGTTGAGGGTGCCTCAATGGAAGCTCAACCAGTTCCCTAATCTGAGCCATCTGCTTCCTTACACCTCCAACATCATCATAACCGACTTCATCAAGTCTTTCCTCATCCTCCCTTTTCACTGGCTCTCCCTCACAGAAAATCTCTGTGTCCGGAGCAACCACACAGTACTCGGCAGGATCAGTCTCAATCACTTTGAACTCCACACTCCTCATTCCTCCTCTGACAAGGAAGAGATCGCCCTTCCTTACTGGGCGGTATGCTTCCAGGAAATAAGCTGCGAATGCAAAATTCTCGCATCAGAAATCACTCAAGTAATACAAACCGCCATCTCAAAAGAGACAACCAACCCTACCACATTAACTAAAAGCAGAAAAAGCTCAACTTACGTTTCAGGTATGCATCGAAGAGGTTCCCTGTAACACCTTCAACCGTGTCATCAATCGGCAATATGTGCACACGCTTTCCGTATTTCACATCAGGGCATTGATGAACAGAAACAACATCTCCCAGTCTAACCCTCAAATTAGACCTGACAACCTTGTTCATTCTGATTTTGGGTTCCTCACATGTTTCATCAGCAAGGGCAATGCAGATAGTGTCCTTCCTTTTCTTACCCTGACAGCCGAGAGCCAATAAGAGGTCAAGGGTAAGTATGCTGATGAGGCATATCAAATTATTAATATAGTTGTAATGCAAGTTCCTCAACTCCCAGCTAGAAAACGCATAGATTCACACAAGAATACATCAACCCACATTAAAACCCTAATTCGTGTAACAGCAGAAACCAACATTCAATCAACCATCAGAACACATCGGCGGCGGCGTCGTCGTCAACATCATCACGATTGCCATAATTCCGATTAAACAAAGCAAATAGATTAAACCTTGATGAGGATCGTATCGCCACGGAAGATCTGAAGCTTCTCCATGGTCGTGGGGTGGAGAGAGACGACAGAGTTGTCATCGTTGACAGCCTCGTCGACAACGAGTCGGTTCGGAGCCTTCTTCCTCTCCAGAATCGCAGTACTGAAGTCCTTCTTCGATTTCCTGAAACAGAACAACGAACCCAGAAAAGAAGATGAAGTAAACAAGACCCGAGATAAACCAAAAAAAAAACAAAAACCTAATTCACAAGCCCAAAGATCGCAACTTCTCGATCGAGAAACCAGAGCCGGGAATGCGGGAACTTACGACTCAGAGGATTCAGCTTGGTTAGACATGGCGGTTCTCGAATTAAGCAGAAGATTTCTCTCAGAAACTGAAGAAAGTTGAGGTTTTTTCCCTCAAGCTCCCTGAGAAAGATCGATTGTTGGGTATAGCGGTAATGGGATAGGAGTGGCCGAATCGAATCACCCGAAAGATTTCCTTCTAAGCTCTAACGATACGGAGATCATGTGTGTATATATATATGTAATTCTGTAATTATACCGTTAGTTTATAATACGTATTTACTTAAATTGGAAACTTTCTCGCGATTTTTTTTTGTAAATCTTTTAGTTTGTTCTTTTTTATTCCCTTTTTAAAAAGCTAAATGTCAAATATAAGTATTTATTTTTAGGTAACGGATATCATCAATCATGTATATTTATATATATGTATATAATTCTCTAATTATACCGTTAGTTTATAATACGTATTTACTAAATTGGAAACTTTCTTACGATTTTTTTTTGTAAATTTTTTAGCTTGTTCTTTGATTCCTTTTTTAAAAGCTAAATGCCAAATATAAGTATTTATATTCACGTATGACGTATCCACATAACAAGGTTTCGTCCTATCCACGGATAGGATATCACAATCTCTGTTTCCAAACAAGGAGAGAACGGAAACCATGATCAATTTCCAGATAAAAAGCCCGCTGAGAAGTGAGCGCGAGGAAGAGAAGAAAATGGATCAGCGGCCTTCTTCTCCGTAATGAACTGGTTCAGCCCCCTACATGTGGTAGCTCTCCGATCAGTTCAAGTGTTCTTCTTTTTCTCTCCCTCGATTGAATTCTCACCTAATTTTTTCTGGGTTTGTGTTAGAATCTCGTGCGAATGTCTGGGTTTTGCATTGTTTTCTGTTCTACGGCGAAAGTTTCGAACTTTTAAGGGTTGGTGTCTCTCTCAACGTTCGAACTTTTAATCTGCGTATCTGATCACGACTGCAGGTTCGGATTTTGAGCTTGCTTCGTGATTTTTGTTTCTGTCGTTTGCTTGAGCTATTCTTCTTTGATGTCGAATGAATACAACTATATAAGGAATTCAGCTGTTTCGTTTACTTTTCAATTTATTGTAACATTTTGGTGCTTACACAGCTTTGTTTTGTAAGCTCATCTATCAGATCGTTTCTGCTTTTCTGCCCATTCACCATTCCTTTGAACTCTTACATTTTGCAGTTGGCACGACAAGTGGATGTTGTTTGAGCAATACCGCTGGAGGAAAGCCAGGGCAAAGATCCAGCCTTACGAATTCAAGGTTGAAATTTTTACGTTCCTGAATCTCGTTTCACGGATATATGCTATATGGCATGCCTTGATATATTTGCTTGGGCTGCTTTTGAAAATCTTCCCGTGTTCTCCTTTGTTCCCAATGGAATAAGATACCTATAGAAGTCCGAGACGCGTACTATTAAGTACGAATGTCCTTTATGTTTCCCATAGAAGCCTCCTTATCTCATCTGCTTTGTGACAGAGAGTGGAAGTAGAACAAGAACTTGTAAACGGCATGAGAATCTGTCTGTACTTGTGTGGTGTTCTATTCTTGTCCTGTTGGATTGAGGTACTTGTATTGGTTTAAGATTATACGTTTTTGTTTCTCTGGTTAAAGTATCTTGTTTCAGTGGCAGACCAGTCTTTCTGACAATTAGCAAGAGCGAACTACATTGTGTTTCAGTGGTTGAAGTATCATTGTCTCAAAAAATCCAGTTTTATCTGATTGTGAAATCCTCCTTTTGGTTGTCTTTGGGAAGGGAACATATTGAATTTTCAATGTTGGGACTCCGGTTGATGATTTGGACGTTCCTCCTAGTTTCTGGACTACTGGAACGAGAAGGCAAGAATCCTCGGTATCATAATTCGTTAGACGAACTGCTGATTTCCTATGCAGCATATATGATTTCTTGCTTGAATCAGGGAGAAGATGTATCTATTGAAGCTGCAGTAATGGCAATAGCATGTTTGATTAAGAGAACCCAGGTAAACTGAAGCATAATTCTATCTTTTCGAGCATGTTATCTCAGAGAAATGAGCATAAATCATGGCATGTGATTCTTGTTAACAAGTTATAGATGACATCATGATGAAAAGAATTAAGAGTTTTACATGTTTCTCATACTCATCTACCCTAGCGCTCAAGATCCAAACTTTGCTTCCTGTGGAACTGCAGGATCTTCTGCACTTCTTCTGGTCGGCAAGGGATGGCTAAAGGCCCTTTCTGCTGAAACCCGAACTCCTCTCTCGCTTGTTCAAGCAGCCTCAAGAACTCTGGTTTGTTCAACTCTCCCACCTCCAGAATAAACCTCTTCGCTTTCCCTCCTTTAACAGCAACCACGGCTACATGCCCTTCTTTCACATCATCAGGAACCGTCGTCGGATCAGCATTTGGGTCTTCTTCTTCTTCTTCTTCGAAAATACTCACTACCCTCTTCGAGGATCTTGGCAAAGACCAGAAAGATCGTAGCTTTTGGATGAAAAGCTTCAATATTTTGCACATTCTGACAGGACTTTGAAGAAATTCGGAGGTAGAGAGCTCAGGTGTGTTTCTTTCCGGAGGAGTTGGTGGAGAAGATTTGGGTTTAGGGAGTTTAAATCGGAACCGCGACGTGAACGAGGAAACAGCCTTTAGGAAATTTCTCGGCAAATGCCAAACATTTAATGCAATGTTTGATCGGTTTTCTTCATCTGTGTTTGTGCTGTTTCATCTTTGTGCTGAGAGAGAGTGGGGTCTCTTAACAAACACGGTTCTGCCTCTGCAGCTCTGTTAAAACGTCTCTTTGACTTTTTTTTTTTTGGGTCGTAATTAATATAATAATCTTCCCAATGTTAATTCTGATTTGTTGATATAAATATGTGTTTATTACTATCATGATAAATGAACCAAAAATTATGTCTTTGGGATTAGTCGTGTGAAAGCATTTTTTTTGTCCCATACCGACAGTATGTGGAACAGTGTTATATGTCTCTAAGCTTATCGTAAATGTTTTGTACGGAATGATTAAATGCGTTCAAACTTCAAACACCGTACAGTACCCTTTGGTACCACCGAATCATTCTCAAATCTCAAAATCCCAAGAGGAAGATCCTGAAATTTATAGTTTCTCTATAAAGCTTTTTTTTTTTTTTCCGAATCAGACAACGAAAAGATGCATGGGTTTTCTAATTTGTAGCTTTTTTTATTTATTTTGCTAAATATAAATATTTAAGTCTAATATATTCTATTAAAATACCATGGTATTCATTTTAGTTTGCTTATATAATGTGATTTTGTGCGGAAATTTTGGGAAACAAAGTGTGAAATTTCCGACGGACAATGTAGGGCCAAATATTCAATGAGCAAAAGAACATTGTGACACTTATTTCAAATGTTTGAATTCCGTTTATTTCTTTTTTATTTGCTCAATTTTTTTATTTTTTTTTTGGTAAAATATCATCTCCCATCCTTCTATTCTACTAAAGGAAAATAGAATGAAATTCCATTAGAATTTTTTTCTTCTAATACTTCACATTTACTAATCTGTAAACCGACATTAGTCTTAACCAAAAGAACCCAACTGTTAGCCAGAGACCAAATCTGATTCAATGTATGTGTGTAATATATACATATAAATATAACCAAGACTGGTTAATCTAGCTCCGGAATTGGCATCATCAGTTTATAACATTGCCAAAGGAGAAACATATCAGTTCAACAGAGAAAACCGAAAATCGAGATGATATGAGAGAATCAGACCTCGTTCAAAACCTGTTTCGGGATCATCATTAGACGGGAAAACACCCAACCCGAGATGATAAAAGAGAATCAGGCAGTTGATCGTCGTTCAAAACCTGTTCCGGGATCATCATTAGACGGGAAAACATCCAATCCGGTGACAAAGGCAGCAGGAGGGCCACGGCGGCACCTCTGCTGCATCTCGTCGACAATCTCCGGTGAACCGCTGAAGAGAGCTTCCACCGAACCGTCCCTACGGTTCCTGACCCATCCCTTAAGCCCTAGCTGCTTTGCATTCTCCACTGTCCAGTCCCTGTAGAACACTCCTTGAACTCTACCCTTTATCACAACCCTCACCTGCATCACCATTGACATCACCATCAACACCATCATCATCATCATCATCGCCATCATCATAATCATCAGTTCACAATTCATGTAGAACTAAAGAACGAAACTTGTGATCCATCAAGAAGATTTCTTCGATGTGAAATCAAGGAACCGTTTCACTGATGTAATTGTTGAGATTAGCAGGAGGAGGACAGAAATACATTTGAAGGTCCAGAATATCGAAAACAGGGAGAGGAACCGATAAACATGTATAATCTGATTGATGGAATTAAAAGATTGCAGATTTTTCAAGATTGATCCATCAAATCAAAGAGATAGCAATCTGGATGAAGCATCAAATGCAACAAACAGCAGATTAATTTGGATCAACATTGAATGACATCTGAATTCTGAATCCAACACAACTTCAAGCTGAATTGTTCATAGCAATGATTAACATCTTGAATCTTTTTTGATAAAGAACATCTTGAATCTTTACATGTGATGTGAACATAAAACTCAGTACAATATACATAATGAATGCATATAATCTCAACTACCATAGAACTTAGAACTGTTCGTCTCACGAAATCGATCAGAATCGCCATATACGCAAGCAACTACTATCAATCTGGAAACAGACGCGAATTCACCAGTGAATCAAACCATACAGATTCAATAATCGAACCCCATTGGACACGAAAACCCAACTCGAGATAAACCCTAATCTCGACAAAATCGATTCTCCTAAAACACTAAATTTGAAGTTCATAACCTTTGTCAGATTCCAAATTAAGAGAAGTTCACAACCGCACCGTTTTGGAGGAATCGGACTGACGGGAAAGCTCGTCTCCGGCATGAGTGGTCATGGAGGACAGAGGAGGAGACGAGGGAAGCCAGGGAAGAGGACGAAGATGCAGATGAGAGAGAGAGAATGGACGATGGCGGAAAGGGAGAAGAGGAAGAACAACAGAGTTTAGATGAAGAAGGGAAACGGAGAATCGACGAGAGTTATCTGCATGGAATCGAAATCGAGAAGAAGCAATGTCCAGAGCCTTCCCGAAACTCAGGAATCTGGTTGTTTGGAATTTTGGAATCGACGGCGACGCCATTGCCGTTGGATGAAACTGTCTGATGTTCCTGGTTTGATTAATGTACTGTCGAATCCGGTTCTCCCTAACCGGTTCGGTTACCCAAAAAATTTATTTTTTCTAGGGGGTCCTTGGGGGTCTTCTCCTCGCTTTTTGTATGAGAATGCTAAAAAGGCATGTGCTCAATCTTTTTAGGGACAGAGAATTTTAATTGCTGAATATAAAAAATAATAAGGATGTTAATATGTCTCCAGAGCCTCGGAGTCAGACAGAAGGTTTTGAATCTCGAGTCAGAGACATTACCATCTTATGGATCCTAAACAAGGGACATCGTTTCAGTTTTTCCTATGTGGACTCTTGCCCCTCTCATTCTCTGGTAAATGTTCTCTCCAGTTTCTTCCTTCCATTTCATCATCATATCAGTACTGAATACAGTGACTGACCCACTGAATCCGCCTATGATTCTCCTCGGCCGTACTCTGAAGCTTCATGGGCGTGAATGAAATTCCGAAATCATGGTCAAATACCCTTTTCCCTATTCGATTTCATCAAACACGCCCTCCTTGAATTTCTCGCGTAATGCTTCTACCGCAGAGTCGGTCCGTGCTTTGTCCTGCACAAAACACATAAGTGAGCCGAGAAATCCAGATTCAAAGGTCTGGTCTTTGGTGTTCCTTGTGTACCTCGCCCTTGAAGCAGATAACAATGGGCCCTTTCCTGGATTTTCGATAGCAACCTATGTTTTTGGTTGGAAGAAAACGATTAGAGAGAAGATTTCAAAGCTACAAACACAGATCAGAATAGGGAAATCACATACCGATATAGATGTCCGGGAATTCGAGACAAAGCTTGGAGAGAGGTCCTGCAACTTCAACCTGCATTTCGAGGAAACAGAGAAACTGATTCATGGACATATATTCTGCAGGAACTTTCATTCTCACACGGTTCATGGTATATAGATGTAACATACAAAAACCGGATGTACATGAAAAAGAAAACGATAAGGGTAATGAAAGGATATGAAATAGTAAGGAGTTAAAACGCGATACATACATCTGTTAAACTCGTCATTACACGTCTTGATGCATATGGATCCATAAGTGCCAAGACACCGCCCAGTTTCGTTAGTTCGGTCAGACATTCCCACTCTCTGTCCAGCTCGCAAGTATTTGTAGCAGTAAGAACGATCACGTTGCAACACTTTATCTACACCAAACGTGGAAAAAAATTATCAAAGGTTGTCATCCATCCACTCTCTGTCCAGTTCTGTTGTGAATCTTTATGTCTGATAAAAATCCTAAAACAAGTTCACCAGTACTTTCTTACGAGTTCTGAGACACTCACCAATGGAACCGAAAGCTTCTCATGATGCAATAGTTCAGTAATTCCTTCAGGCAACTGAGCCATCTGAATAAAAAAAAAAGAACGAAAAAAAAAAAGAACAGAAGAGACCTCATTTCGGGGCCAAATGCTGATACCATGCAATCTATAAGGAGTAAAAGGTGTATCACAATTCACACAAGGGATGATGGGATGATATCTACAAGGACGTCCATTTTTTAGAACCATTTCCCTTACAGAAAGAACCATCTAGACACCTACAAGCGTTCCTGTCTGCCCACACCAATTTTAAAGGTCGGTTTAATTATGAATGGGTTTTCAAACAGTGTATCATCTACACAAGTAAGGTTCACAAGCCGAGGGCCGAGACCAATCTGCTTACTGTAATGCCCATCAAGAAAATGAAGCTACATTATCAAATCCCCCACCAAAATGTATCATCCTCACCTCATTTCTGTCACCTGTGCAATGCTCGCCGATAAGATGCCTAAGGTATTCCTCAAACTCCTCATCGGGTGCCTGAATTAACAAGATTCACAATACCGGTCAACTGTCTTTCAATTGTTTAATTTTCATATAAAAATTTGAGTTTTTATTTATTCGAGGTCATCACCATTTGAAAAAAAAACAATTAAAAACAATGCAAAGAAATTGAAACATTTGTTAAACTGTTTAGAAAATATACCAGCCGAACCCCAAATGCCTTGGCAACGCCAGCCAAAGTAACATCTGAATGAAGTGGGCCGACTCCTCCATATATAAATACCTCCAAAAATATGATGTGTAGAATCCATCAGTCATGCCTGACAGCAACAAAACCTCTTTCTCAATCATGTTTATCTGCTCAAGGGACTTACCATATCATTGGTAGACGTTTGGCGTTCAACTTCCTCAGCTACAGAATCTATCTGGTTCAAGAAAGTAGTAAAACATTACACTGAGAGATGAGATTGATACGAGGAAAACATGCTTTTGTCTGATTAAAATTCTTCCATGTGTTAGTAAGCAGAACATAGAATTTTACAGATATTACTTTCACATGACCGAGAGGACGAATCTTAAAAAATATGGGAACTCACAACATTCCGAAGAACAGAAGTTTGATGCACAGACCAACCCACAGAGTTCAGTTTTTTACACAAAGATAGTCCCAACTGATCCTCAACAGTGCCAGACCTGAGCTATGGAACAGATAAAAGAGTTGGAAGAACTTCATTGCATCTGAATCTAGCAGAATATGAAAATCATATACTACGAGAAAAAGGCAATAAGGCATGCACCCATAAAGATGCTGACTTTAATGACATATATAGCAAGATGTTCTAGTTTTCGGGTGAGGATATGAAAACAAAGGATTAGATGATATCAGGAAAAATAACGCCAGTTCCATGCATCATCCTACCATTTGTATAAAAACTAGAATACCATTACGATGCAAGAATAAAGAAACCCTATATATTCACGGGGTAACAAATGAACCAGATAGTAAAGTATATGACTTACAGAATCTCATCACCAACAGCAATAATGGCGGCTGATAGCACCTTATGTTTATATGATTCATTATCTAGATCATTGCCAACCGAAGGAAAATTCTCACGACCTGAAGAAACTTTCTTGACTCTCCCTGCCCTCTCTAACCTCCCATCCGAGAGCAAGTAAGCAGGTTTAAACTTGTCTTTACTGTTCGAGTCATTAACACGCAACAATGCATTGGGAACCGTATCATGAATGCTCCCGATCGATGTGTATCTGCACATTCAGAAATATATACATGATGATAATAGTTGTTAGATGAACGGGTCACGATAAGCAAGAAACTGAAGTAGAACTCAATCAGAATATATGCAGGACTGTTACCCCTGGTCATAAAGGTTGCAGTACTTGACCTTGCAAGTTAAAATAAACGCCCAGACGTCTCTGCCATGAAAACTTGACAAATCAGGAATCAAAATGCACAACCAGAATCCAAACTTAAAAAATGAACATGACAGGACACATCCACCAAAATAAACCTCTGAAGAGGTACACTTATAAACAGAAATATTGTAGTTTCCAATATTTCAACCGATCATATTCCGGAAACTTCACGACAGATGATGCCAATTATATTGAAGTATATTCAACGACTGCACAAAGCAAGTTACGTATCTTTCTTCAAATTTCACAAAAAGCAACAGACTTTACCAGCATAGCAAGTACATAGCGGCAAATTAGTACTCACATCTGTTCGCATATCAGTCCTTCAAATTAAAAAGCCAAAGAATTGAAAACCAAACCAAAACCTGTTGCAATTTCTACAGCAAACACTTCTAGAGCAACTTCCAAACCAAGTGCAATCTAAGACAGTAACGATATGATATTGATCAAGGAGATAAAGAGACCTATATGACCAATCCAAGATAGGATTCACCCTCATGAAGGGGGGCCATCCAGGGGAACTAGGAGAGAATTGCTCCTGGCCAACCTGAAAAAACTCGGAGAATAAATAATCACGGTGTGAAATATTCTGCTGAACATACAAACTATATGCAGACAGTTTCGAAATTGAACTGTAATGGATTATCGAGACGTGGCACAGAATTGAAGATACCGCGGTAGGATCACCAATTCGGACACCAAGAAAAATTGCTCTGATAGGGCTAGCCTTTAGCAATGCTTCCAACCCTGATTTGAAATCTTGACGAATAATATCCAGTTGGAGATTATAACTGTCCATAGAGCAAAAGATATTTAGCAACCAGCAACACTCTAATAATCCCAGAACCCAAATGAACTTTGACAATCAATCTAAACACACTGTTTTCATTGAAAATACATAGGAATAGAAGAAGCCCCCTTACGTTTGAGCTGTATCATAAGTAAATCCATTTATTTCAGGAAATGCAGAAGGACTCTCAAAGTATATGGTTCGGATTGGAAAATGCAAGAGACCTCCATTAGAACAACTCTGCTCCTTCTTATGCAAGAAATAACCAGCCCTAAGAAGGTGCAGCAAAACCTAAAATCAAAATTAGAGTCACTATCACTCAGGAGTCATCAAAATATTTTTAGAAGGAAACCAGGTATGTCTGAGCTTACAGTTGAGTCCTTCCCTCCATTGAAACTAAAGGCAACTTCTTCAACTCTGCAAAAGATGACAAGTTTGATACTTTCGAGAGTCAGAACAGTTAATAGCATGTTAATGATATAAGTGATGCCATGCAACATAAGCAAACACTAAAAATGACAATCACTTAAAGAAAAATGGGTAGATGGGTCAACATAAAACTTCCATATTGATATAAAATGTAAAATACCGATTCTGTGAGTGCCACAAAACAACACTGAAACAGATCTCTCTGGTGTTCTTCAAAAAGGAAAAACTTACTGATATAAAACTGCGACAATGTTAACTAAGCCAGCCAAGAACACGGAAAAAGCAATTTACCACAATTAGGGAAAGGCAAATCATTGAAAGGGATGTTGAAAGTTCATACTGATAATATCCATCGCAAGAAGGCATTGCTTCCAAACTCACAGATATTATTGCTAGTTAACAAAATGCAATGTTTGATGTCCTGAACTACTGCAATTCAACTCACATAAATATTTATCTAAAATCCTACAACAACAACAACAACATCGCTTAATCCCAAGTTTATTTGGGGTTGCCGCGAGAATTCTTCATTTCCACTCATTTATCTAAAATCCTAAGCTTTAACTAAATCCGGCAAGAGTTTTGAACATTCAAAATCTGAAAACATTCCAAGGGTGTCGTCTCACAGAGAAACCGCGTGCAAATATAAAAGTGACAAATTTAGTTTCATCTAGATTTTCCGGCAAAAAAACTAAACGGCGTTCAGATTCCGACCACAGCAAGACACGATGCACGAATTCAAAGGACAGGATTAGAGAGATCGAGAATCTATGATTATGAATTTTAATTACGAAGAAAAAAAGAAGAAGGAACTCACGAGTAAAGAGCCAGAGCTCGTTTAATGACATAAATGGCGTTGTTGTACTTCGTCTTCAACCTCTTGTCGTCGCTTTCTCCGATCGCTTTGTCGATCTCCATTTTCTTTTCCAGAAACAAAAAAAGAATCAAAATTTCGAAAAACCCAGAAAAACCCACGACGCCATTGCTACAGATTTGCAAATTCTTGATGAATTTGGGGACTAAAGCCCTTACCTTCTCCGGACGAGCTCGAATTCGGTGGGAAGCTTTTGCGTCTGTTGCCGGGGAAGAGGAGAAGAAGGAGAAGGGGATTTTCCTGACTATCGAGAATTTCGGGTCTCTAAAGCTTCAGATTTTTTTATCGCCACAACCAGTTTATCTAAAAACCAACCAAAATTCTGAAATTGCAAAATAAGAATAAGCACAAAAGAACAGAGGAGAGAGAGAGAGAGACACGAAATCTTTCTTAGAGAAAAGAATGAAATGAATATTTTTTTTCGAATTAAAGATTCAAAGTTTATTCAGATCAGAGATTTTACTGCACACCCAAATCTGATTTGAGAGTCCTAAACCCTTTTTACGGTAAACAAATACAAATGTATATATAACATATGTAACTGCATAAATAATTCATTCATTAAATCTCTTATGCATAAATAATATATACTCCCTCTATTTTTTAAAATATCGTTTTAAATTTTTTCACGATTATTAAGAAAATATTAAAAAAGTATATACTCATATTAAATTATATTTTCAATAATTTTTATTGAAATTATTTTTTAAAATTAAAGGTATAATTGTAAAAAAAATTTATAGAAAATCTAAAACGACATCTAATTAGTAACAAAAAATATTATGTAAAACGACATATATTAAAAAAAATGGAGGGAGTGCAACATATGTAACAAATTATTTTCATTTATTGTTTATTATCTTGATATTTTATTTAGATTGAATTAAGCTAGTTGATTTGGTTAATAATATCAAATCTGATCCGTTTTTAAAATTAATCGATTCGTTTCAATTCTAACTCTGCATGTTTAAACCAAAATGGTGATACCAGATAATTGCAATTTTCATGTTTAACATATTTGCAGATTGAAAAAAACCCTAAACCCTAAACACAATTTGAATAAAATAATATATTAATATTCAAGTTTAGTAATCTTTATACAAGATATTAGGAAATGAGTCAATGTATCATTTTTTTTTTCCTAGATAAAAGTTGGCATAATACAAGTCTTCTTATAAGTTTCTCTACGACTTTGCATTATCACAAGTTGCAAAAAAGAAAGACTTTATATAACTAAGAAGAATAAGGAAAAGGGAGAATATTCAGAGAAGAAGAACCCAATAAAAAAAAAAAACTTTTTTGGCAACTTGACTTTCTATCTATAGTGCTCCTCCATACCATACCACAATGCCTCAGATTGCGTTCCACCGCCTATCGCAAACGCCAAACGCAAATCGCAACCGCTGATTGTCTTTGAAAAGAGTATCGTCTTAAATGAGAAACATATGAAAACCGCATAGGATTGTCATTGTGCATACATTCGGATTAATTTACAATGTTACAAGCAATTTGAAACTTTCTGTGAACTTTTTATAAAATTTTATATCAATATCGATTAATATTACCATTTTTGAATTTTTTTAGTTTAAAGAAAACATTTGAAACTCTCATTTCTTAATAATCATACTATTTATGACTATTTACAATGTTATTAACCACTTCAATATTATTAAGATTTTAAAATTTTTCGTTAAACTCGTTAATACTACCATTCTTTTTACTTGAGATTATACCAAAATTCCGTCGGCTTTGCAAATTTTTCTGATGTTTGCAGTCAATTGTTATATACATTTTGCAGAAAAAATTTCATATTTTCAACGTTGGGTTTTCGATATTCTCTACATCGATATAAAAAAAAAATCGAATGGTTATAATTTTTATGAAATGGAAATAAAGGGATCCGAATATAACTCATCATATTAATGCATGCATTCATATTTAGTGCACGCATGAATGCAAAACATGAAAAATATATGGTTCAACTTAAACAAAACACATAAGTACAAAGTGCACTACTATATAGTTACTTATCGCATCCAATTTGGGTAGTTCAATTGGTAAAATAAAAATGTAAAACGTTTGTCTTACCCCTAGTTTGAGGCTAAAGTTGAGGAAGATAGTGTATTCTACTTACATAACTTGTTTTCAATCTCGAAATTAGTCTGGATATCAGCATGGTTCTCCAAAAAAATATAATTATTTAACGCGAAATTCAATGGAGCATTTCAATAATTAAATACATATAAAATTTCCATAATCTTCTTTTTTTCCTTTATAGTATTTAATCCTAGATATCGGTTAGGTCATTTTCGATTCTAATTTTTAGATTATTTTTATTGTCCAAACAGGTAGGATTACATATCCAAGGTGAGGTTGGATTGTTTTCTTTTCTTTTTTTGTATATCTTTGAGAGATAATATATATATATATATATATATATATATATATATTTCCTAATTCAGATTGTATTGTTTCAAATATCCCAAATCAAAACCATATATAGATACAAACAATTAAATAAGCTAACCTTTAAGAGTACAAGTACGTTCACCATTAATTTATCACGACCGATAAAATACATACGTGTGTATATATACATAGTACCTATATACATGTATGGCATTAATTATAACATTGTAACAGAAGAAAAAAGGTTGGCATGATGATGATGATGATTGAAGATGAATTAAAGAATAGTTATAGGGAAAGGATATGCTTTGCTTAAGAGTGAGTAGTGAAGCTAAGCTTGTTTTCAAGTTAGCTCTTCTTTTGGCGGCCAAGTCATTCTCTATCTCTCCCTCTATCCGTTTCTATACATAAATATGTATGTATGTATGTATGTATGTATGTATGTATGTATGTATGTATGTATGTATGTATGTATGTATGTATGTATGTATGTATGTATGTATGTATGTATGTATGTATGTATGTATGTATGTATGTATGTATGTATGTATGTATGTATGTATGTATGTATGTATGTATGTATGTATGTATGTATGTATGTATGTATGTATGTATGTATGTATGTATGTATGTATGTATGTATGTATGTATGTATGTATGTATGTATGTCAGAAATCCTTGGCCAAAATCCCAATGCAAAGGATTCGTAAATTCCCCCGAATCTTCCGGGCTTTTATAATATGTTCAAAATATAGCAGTTACAAAATTCCTTTTTTTGGTCGAACTATGAAATTAATAAGTGAAATATAGATGTCCATAGAGTATAATCAATAGCATATATTATAATAATTTGTCGGTGTGTATTGTACGTAGTTTTGTTACTTCCAAAAGCAGAGAAACATCTCCTAATTATGTACGCTCAAGTCATCCTCTATTATTAATCATTCTATTTAGCTATATACACACACACACACATATATATATATATATATATATATATAATATGTCTGTGTTTACATAACACATGGGACAATGTTGAAGTGACACAAATGTGAAATAGAATATATATATGATAGCTCAATACATTCGAAGGGAACATGAATTCTATGTACCACGGGACAATGGCATAATCTTATGTCGGTCCATCCATTAGTTTTCATCTCAAAAAGTCATTAAAATCTATAATGAAACATGTTCCCTCAACTATGAGCATGTGGATGAATTCTACGTTCACGAGATTATTGAAATGCCTAATTGAGAGGTGGTTCATTAATTGTTAGCTTAATAATTAGTATTAATTTTCTTAATCTATTGTTGCCATTTTTATAGATTCGTAAAAAAAAAAAGATTTAGATCTATTAATAATATATTAATAGCTTCTTTTTAATTAATGAATTTGGGAGATGAAAATGGATTTAAAATAATTTTTTAAATCTTTTTTAGTCATTGATTCACAAAGAATATATATTAATTTTTATTCAAGTTTTTATACCAAACCAAAATAAAAAAGGATCTAACGGACCGTGTACTCTAATATTAAGAAAAATAAAAGTGATTTTGTAAACTAATTACTATATACATATAGACCGAGAAACATATTTTTATCAGTAGATATTTATAATCCTCTGATTGAAATATTTAAGAAAATGAAAAGAGGCAAGGCTTATAGTTCACCGAACCCAAATCATTAGCTAATTAATCACAAGATTGTAATGATTTGATCAAATAATTGCATGCATGACCAAAAGATATAATGATATATATATATATATCACAAAGAGGCGCAAAATTTGGAGTGACTTTATATTATATTCTTTTTTTAGTACAAAGATTATCTTATTGTGAGATTGTGGGTTGGCTCAACTGCACATGAACTACTCATACTCAAAATTAGATTTATTTTTTCTTTCCAATTAATTAAGTTAATTAATTGAAACTTTGGCAAGTTCAATGAACACAAAGTGCCTCACTAATTAAGACTAAGTTTAATCGCTATTCGCTATGAAATTATATACACAATAAATACAATTCTAAAATAGTTAATCTTTTGTGGTTGTAAATAATATATTCAGTGTTGTTTAAATACGGACAAAAACGTAGATTTGATCTAGGGAATGATGGTGATGGTTATGGACAGATAATAATTTAAATTAATTTGTAAAAATTATTGAGAATTAATATTAACTATATCTCTATATTTTTTTTATTAAAATTCAAATATTTTTTTTATGTTATTTTATGGTATGATTAACGTTTTGATAATACAATTTTCTAAAATCCAAAAATAAACCAGTGTGCATATTATTTCATCCTAACAACTAGCAAGGATTATTTTGGTCCAAAATATACAAGCGAACCAAGTGAATGAAAGAAAAAAGCATATTAGAATTGAAAATTAAAATTATTATTATTATATAAAAAAAACATTAAAAATAAGGAAGGAAAAACAAGAGGGAAACGAGTGGTTCCAGGCTTGCAAACCAAAACTTCCAGTAAGGAATCCTTCACCAAAAGTCATCTCTTTGCTTCATTTCTCACCCTATCCCCTTCTCTCATAATTCCCTCCTCACACACACATATATACACCTCTACATACATGTATATATGTGCCAGTGTGTAGACAAACAGTACAGACACATTATAAATCTGTACGTGTGCCTGTGTTTGTATGTATGTATATATATATATATATATCTACGCACGGATAAGCGAAACCCGAAAAACTCTTAATACTTCTCCATAAATACACAAAACAGTTTTCTTGATTCTCTCTGCACAACGTCTCCACGAATTCTTTGGCAACAGAAGGATTTCACCATGACAACGGTTCACGAAGATGGCGGCGATATCGCGCGTTTAACCATCAAACGCAAACGCACCAAACGCCAACGCACCGCCTCTCCTCCTACCGCAGCCGCCGCTGGAGAGTTGTCGGGAGAAAGAGAAGAAGAAGAAGAAGTGACGAGGGAACTGGTCGGTGGTACTGAACATGTTCTTAAAGGAGCGGCAAATGAAGACGAGGACATGGCGAACTGTCTGATGCTATTGGCACAAGGCAGAAAAAGAAACGGCGATCGTCGTCATCAGACTCAGAAACCGGGTTTCTTGAGCAACAGGAGAACCCCGCCTTCTTCAACCTCGTCACAGGCTGGCCTAGGGTTAGGGTTAGGGTTAGAGGGCGTTTACCAATGCAAAACTTGCGACAGAAGTTTCCCGTCGTTTCAAGCCCTAGGTGGGCACAGAGCCAGTCACAAGAAGCCGAAGACCGGTCCAAACGCTGGACGCGATCTCAACAGCGGTGAGAAGAAATTTGCGTTTGCAGTTGGAGAAAACAGAGAATCGGATCAATCAGTTCTTGGCAGGTTTCTTTCTCTGCAAGTAACTAGCAGCAGTAGCAAGAAAACAGACAAGACCCACGAGTGTTCGATCTGTAAGGCCGAGTTTTCCTCAGGACAAGCCTTGGGAGGTCACATGAGAAGACACCGAAGCATTCCAACAGCAACCGCAAACGCAGCGGTCGGAGAATCGGAAAGTTCGCCAGATCGAATTAGTCGTGAAGAATCTAAGAGGCAAAGAAACTTTCTGGGATTGGATTTGAATCTTCCGGCACCGGAAGATGATCGTTCAGACAAACCAAAGTTCACATTTGCGTCCAAGGATCAGATTCTTGTCTTCGCCGCCACATGAATTATTCGGTTGATTGCCATTATTAACTATATATTATATAGTTCGGTGTACCTTTTCTTTTACTACTTGTAGTCTTCTTAGTCATCATTTTCTGTATCGATTGTATCGCAATTTATTTCACATTAATTGTTAAATTAACATTGAAATATATAGATTCATTCTTTGAAATAATTAATTTATTGTTATGTGTCTTTCTTTTCACCCTAAAAATGCACATGATTGTTTCTTATGCATTCTCCAACATTTTCTTGCTGAGTTGCTTTCACGAGATACTCAAGAAAGTGAAACAAGATTTTGTTTTTTTTTTCTCATCAATTTTATAAATTATCCATTTTAACGTGATAATTTCCATGCATGTAAAATGCCTATGATTGACTATATATATACATATATATATATATATATATGTATGTATGTGTTTATACTTGACTTTGGGAGAAGAAATTCCTTCATTAGCGGAAGAAGCCATGTGACGATGACTTTCACTTCAAGACTATTATTACATTTAGTTTAGCCGCCGCATATCCCATCAAACCGGTTCGGTTCATTAAACCGGTTTGGCGGTCCGATGCATTGTATGAACTAATATAAATTTTGTTATTTTGTTGGATTTGATGGCCTTAAGAAGTGAGGCCTTTAAAGATCCATGCCCTTTTATAATGGGCCTTTAGGCCCATATATAAGTCCTCGCCGTTTTGCCTTCGTCGACGGTGAATTTCGCTGAGCGGAGGGAAGGAGAGAGAGAGAATTGTTGACGGCGTCAATGGCGGTTCCGAGGGGAGGCAATGGTCTGGTAGACGAAGAAGATGTCGATGGAGAGAACGCTCTGTTCGAGGAAAACGGTATTGACTCTGACGCCGATCTCGATGTTCCGCCGCACCTCCGTGACTTGGCTGCAGCCGTTCAGACTGGCGACGTCGTCGGCTTACGTTCCGCTCTTGGTACTCCAATCTCCTTCTTATGCTTCTGTGATTTTTTCTCGGATTTGTTTTAATTCTAGTGATTTTCGTTTGAGGTGGCTTTGCTAGGGTTTTGTCGACTCGTGACTTCACATGCGTATGGCTTTTTGTTTTCTTCGTATGCATATTACTCTTTGCTTTTGTTACAGATGTTTCTCATACTCGCATTGAAATTGCTGTATGTGTTATAGTTGACCATATATGCTAGTGGATTGTTTGAGTATATGATACTTTTGAGCATAATTTGGACGGTTTGATAGTTATGTTTTTTGCAGTAGATCCGGAGAGTCTACAGAGATGTTTAAGAATGATGAAGTTTTTTCTGTTTCCCATGTCATCAATGTCGAATTGCCCAGTTCAAATAATCTATAGTGTTTTCTCAATTTGGACTCATCGGAAACAGAATGCTATATGAAGAGTTCTAATAGTCTCAGGCTTGTTGTTTTCATGTTTTATCAGGCCATGCGTTTCCTGTTTATTGTCTTGGCAATTTGTTGCTTTAGGCTGCAATGTACCTCACAGATAATGCAGTCTGATGTGAAAAATGATGATGTAACTTAGAATGTTTGAGGGCAATTTTTCTAATTATTAGAAAAAATATTACAAGGCACTCATTTGTATCAATGACTGGGGGATATCCAGATGTTTTCAGTTTTGTTGGGAAAGTTGATGAATTTCTTGGAACATAGTATGGTCATTATCTGAGCTCAGTGGTTCGATGTTTTACTTCCCAGCTAATCTTTCTCTGATTTGGTAGATGTTTTGGATGGTAGTGTTGACGAACCCCTTGAAGATGGAGACACAGCTCTTCATCTGGCCTCTCTATACGGTCACCTGTCTTGTGTTCAGGTTGTTCTTCTTACTGCCGGTGATTTCATTTGACAGAGCAATTCTACACGATTTCGTTTCTTTGTTCATGTGTGACTTGCAAATTTCTTAATGGAGTGGACACTTCTGATGTAGCTTCTCCTTGAAAGAGGGGCAAATGTGGAGGTCAAGGATGAAGATGGAGCAATCCCTCTGCATGATGCTTGCGCAGGGGGTAAGTTGGTCTTGGGCCTACAATTCTTGATATATGTCTCACTATAAGCTGGCAAGTCTTTGGTTCAAAGTGTTCGCTTTGGCAGGATTTGTAGAGATCGTACAGCTTATTATTAACAGAGCCAGTGGTCCTGACTGCGTGAAGAGGATGTTAGAGACAGTTGATGTAGAAGGTGACACTGTAAGTATTCCTTCAATAGATAGGCCATGGCGATTTCAAATCTCTCTCTCTCTCTCTTATTGTTTTACCGTGGCAGCCTCTTCATCATGCCGCGAGAGGCGAGCATGAGGATGTGGTAAGATTTCTGCTGGCTTCTGGGGCTTCACCGAGGATGACAAACTCTTATGGCAAGGTACAATTAAAAACCTAAGCTCACTCTCCAACCAATACCATCCAAGAAAACTAAGCCCATTACTTCCAAATTTGAGGAAACATGAAGCATTTTTTACCATCAATGGCAACTTATAGGAAATCTGGAACACTGAAAATCGCGTTTAACTGAATTTAGTAGCGGTCTACAGTTAAAAAGGTTTGTTACTCCACAAATGCCGTGTTTATAGTGACATTTTTTTTTCAATTGGCCAGACACCAGGTGAGTTAGCTGATTCCAACACCGAAGCCAAGAGAATTCTCGAAGCCGCCATGTCTTGCTAAGATGAGAATCTCCGAGATGGTAATGGAAATGGCCCATCTTTTCATCCTATTTCCCCAGAGCAAGAAAGTAAGAAGGAATTTCACCCCTTCGAATTATATGTTATGTTTATACAAAGTTAGGCCTATGGATCATGATCTTCAGTCTCCTAGTTGATCCGTATGCTTTGTTATTTCCTTGGAAGATTTTGGTTACTGAAACACAAATTAGGTTATGAAATCTATCTATCGGAATATTTGTCCTTTTTTAGATGACCTTTTCTCCGTGAAATACGTGTATGTGGGTGTATGTATATATTTATACGTACGTAGGACAACATGTGGACGAACATATTGAGTCTGACTTTGTCAGGACCGTGCCTCCCCAGCCGTAAAAAAAAAGAACGTACGTAGACGGAGCCTCTGTCCGGATTGGCGGCCTACTTCGCTGGAAGCACTAACACACATACAGCGAAGCATCCATTTCCCACCAATATATGATTGACAGCTCAGCAGAACTCCATTATTTTTACGCTGTCTCACGTACACCTGCGTCACAGGATTACTACTCCCCGCTCATTTCTCGTTAAACCTCCATAAATTCCAACCCCACAAACTTTCTAAAATTGCTTAAAGGACCCCATTTGTTTCATTCATCTTTTTTCCCCATAAAAATTGATTGATTTTGTAATTTTTGTTGGCGTTTGCGTTAATTCCGTATGTTTTAGGGGGGCTCTATTGCGTAATATAAAACGTCTGGGGTTCGAATGAAACTACTCCCATAGTTAAAGAGTAAAACTATAAATAGATTAAAATATTGTCCACCAAAAAGTTTTCAGCAGCTATCAGGCTGCTTCAGCGGCTGTGCAGAGTTCCTCCTTTTCGCTTCCCCTTTCTCCGTGTCCGGAGAAATTTTCTTTCTTCGGCGGAAACGTAGTTTCCCGAGAAACACTTAGATCTCGGCTCAGCTTTTTGCCCAGAAAGAGAAGAACTTGCCCTTCTGATATGGCGGTTGCCCCGGCAAGAGCTCGTACTGACTATGACTATCTCATCAAGCTCCTTCTCATCGGCGACAGCGGTGGGTCTCTCTCTCTCTCTCTCTCTCTATATGTATGTATATGTATGTATATACATCCTCTGAAGAAATGAACTCACTGGGACGACGCACGCGGTGTTCCATCTTTTTCTCATGGAAAATCTTCCGTGGAACATCTCTGGGGCCTGCTTTGCAATCTGAATTAGGGTTTGAGTGATTTTGATCTGGTCTTGATTTTGTAGTGGGGAGTCAAAATAGTAAGTATTGATGCCTAGCTATTCTCCGTGAAAAAATTATGGAAGCAGGGCACTTGCTGATAGGACTTTGCGGAAAACCTAAGGATTATCCAAGTAACAAGCACCGATCCAGCTCGTTTCTCTTTACATGCTGAATTTGGTAATAAAGTTGGAAAAAGTAATTTGAGAAAATTTGTGGACGTGGAATTGTTGTCTTACTTCGCCTCTTTCTGACAAATTCTTACTTGTATTTGCAGGTGTTGGAAAAAGCTGCTTGCTTCTGCGTTTCTCGGATGATACTTTCACCACAAGCTTCATCACCACAATTGGGTATATACTCTTTCTTCCAGCCAATGGCTGTGTTTCTTGTTCTTCGCCTTGTATCTCAAAAAAAGTTTGTGTGATTTCGATTCACCCGTTTCCAGGATCGATTTCAAGATAAGAACTGTTGAACTCGATGGGAAGCGTATCAAATTGCAGATATGGGACACTGCCGGACAAGAACGTTTTAGAACTATCACTACAGGTAACTCGATTCGGTCCTTCTGAATCACGGGTCCTGAAAATCGTGTGTTCTCTCTACATATGCATCTATCGAACTTTTAGTTTATCTCTCCCGGAATTTCCATATACTAAGAAGCGTGAAACCGATTATTTTGATTTCTTTCTCACCATTGATCCATTTTGTTGTGGCTTTTCTTTGAGATGTTTCGGCCCGTTTTCTGATGCAGCGTATTACAGGGGAGCGATGGGTATTCTGCTCGTATACGACGTGACAGATGAGTCGTCCTTCAATAGTATGTCTATTGCTGTTTGATCGAGCTCACGTCCTTTATAACAACAAACAGATGTTGCGTGGCCTCTTGCTAACACAATTGTTTCAACAATCAGACATTAGGAACTGGATGAAGAATATTGAGCAGCATGCTTCGGATAATGTCAACAAGATATTGGTCGGTAACAAAGCCGATATGGATGAAAGCAAAAGGGTAATCACAAGCTGCGTACTTTCACCGACGTTCAGATGTTAGTCGAGTTTTTTAGTAGTTTTCTGATGCTTGCATCGTCCTCCTCCTCTTGCAGGCTGTCCCGACATCAAAGGGCCAAGCATTGGCTGATGAGTATGGAATCCAATTCTTTGAGACGGTGAGCTAGAAAAACGAAGAACATCATGCCTTATTTTTCATTCGGGGTTTTTTTTCTTTAACGGGGAAAACATCGAGATAACCGATGTGATTGAAACGGATGCAGAGTGCAAAAACAAACTACAACGTGGAGTCTGTTTTCCTTTCTATCGCAAGAGACATAAAACAAAGATTGACAGAAACCGACTCGAAAGCTGAGGCAAGAAACGTCATCAGATCGTTGTTTTGTAAGATTATAAATTTTACCCGTTAGTCGTTACATTTCTGAAGTTTATGTTATTGTTTGCAGCCACAGGCCATCAAGATCACTAAACAAGATGCTGCAAAAGCTGCTTCCTCCTCTTCAACAGCCGAGAAATCGGCTTGTTGTAGTTACGTTTAAAAGAATCGACCCGTCTTTTCTCGGGGAACTGGTTTCTCGATCCCGATCTCGCTCCCTTGCCCGTCTTTATACTCGTTCCGTCGTGGTAGAGTTCGATCCAAATGTTCTTATGCTGTTGTTGTCTGGAACCTGTAGGGATAAGTCATTTGATCACTGTGATTTTTTTATGTCCTGGATTGTGAAGGATCACTGTGTTACTTGTTTCTAGGTGTGGCGGTTTCGGTTCGGTTTTAGAAACTCGAACCGGCACAAACAAAATAATATGTAATGTATTTAATTTAAATTGAATCTAAAATGGTTTTTATCAAATTGAATTCAGTTCGAATTTAAAATTAATTCAAAAAATTGTTTTTCTCATTTGAATATAAAATAAAAGTCAATCGAATATATTTTTTAGACACAAGCTATTAAATCTAGAATTTGAATTAAATTTGACAATTCGGTTAAATTGGACCGAATCGTTGATAACGCGATTATTTGGATTATACCCGAATTCCTTTATTTCGTTTTATTTAAAATTTGACTATTTTAATTTTTTTGGGTAGTATAATTATTTAGTTTTTATATTATTTCAGTTTAAATTTGGATTGTATTAATAAAAACGTTTATTTTTCTAAAAAAATATTTTTCTATTCGATTCGAACTTAATTTTTTCGATTTTTATATCGAATTCAATTATATTGTTATATGTTATCCAACTTGGTATGATCGAAATAATAATTAACCAAATTACCCATGAGCCATGTTCTCAATTTCTAATTATTTGCCTTGTAATTATAATCAGAAATTATAAATGGGTCGAACCTGGAAATCCATAAATGTCATGAGAAATTACACACCCATTTGAACTGATCCCAACATACACATTCTTATTATAAGCCCAACCAAAAATAAAAAATCTGGCATGAGAAATTACAAATGGAAATGGAAATATTAGTTTTAATTAAACCCCCACTAAAAATAAAATTATGAATTCTACCGCTTTAGGACAATCAACCATTTGATCAGGTTTGGTTAAACCACTCATTTACCGAACCAAACCGGATATTCCCCCCTTAGCATCTAATTTTAGCTCATGCTATAAAAGCTACCTATTTTTTTTTTATATATATTTCTAAATTAGTTATATAATGGAAACATATATCAGAATATGTATATCTTTTGACTGTACCAATACAAAATATTTTGGACAGTGGCGCTTTTTGGTTGCATTTTGTTCATTAGAATTTGCTTCTTTTTTTATTATAAGATCTATATAACAATAAATTTGTATAACCATTTTATATACAGACAAAGAAATGCTTCCTCACACATCCACCAATCAATAATTTGTTTTCAAACATTAGCATGAGATCACAATGAGATCTACACAAATTGCAAAACGACATGGACCTACACCAAAAATAAAAATAAAAAACATTGAGGAAAAAAATCATAAAATTAATAGGAATAATTATTCTGCAAAGGGAAAAAGACTGATGTCATTTTAGAAATGGGTGTTTGAAAAAGGCATGTTTGGTAATGGCAATGGCATATTCCATGGAAGATCCCAAATATATACCAAAAGCACATTTACATGACATCCCACATTTCCGTCTGTATACATATATTTCCCACTTTCTTTTTTCAATTCATCTTTCCCTTTACACCAATGTAACACATCATGTTTGTTTATATTCCCTTTATTTACACCAATATATACACAATTATATAGTTTCCTTGGGTGATATTTAACACAAAACATTTATAAATACCTCCTAATCTTATATTTCTCACACTTATAGTTTCAGATTCTATAGAGTTTATTACATTGTATTTAGAAGAAAAAATATCTTGGATATATATTTGCCATCTTTATTTATATTGGAAATGAATTACATATTGATAAATAGAATCCTTTCATCGTTTAAATTGAAAATATATAATTTAAACAAAAAAAATTTATCATATAATTTTTACACTAAACATTATATATATATATATATATATATTAACATTATATACATCTTTAGAAAAAAATAGTTTTTTTAAAGAAAAAGAAAGGGGAAAAGTGAGAGAACACTATAGCTTGTGTAAGATTGGTTTCAATCTCTCTTTTAATTGTCTCCATGACCAAAGACAGACAAAAGGGAAAAAAAAGAAAAGGAAAGAGGCTATAAGAACCCTAATAAGCCTCCTCAGTTGAAACCCTCTCTTAAGCGCATAACACCACAGAACAAAAAGGGCCACTCCCCTATCTTTTCATCTTCTTCTTCAAGAAGAATATCAATGGCGAAGATCTTCGTGAGGGGAGTGGCCCAAAGAGACAGAAACAATATATACTTACACACAAGAACCTGATAGCTAATGATATATATATGTATGTATGTGTGTGTGTAAGTGGTGTTGAATATATGGAGCGATGAAGATTGCAGAAAGGTTGAAGGCCGTTGTCTGAAACAGCGGGTTTCTCCCTCGCAGGGCAACTTCCATCCTTTGGCAAGCTTCGGTTCCCCTCGGAATCAGCAGATTATTACCCTTATATTATGTAATAACCCATTCTCTCTCTCTCTCTCTCTCTCTCTCTATATATATATGTATATATATATATATATACACATATATATATGAGTTGATTTTGCATTTCTAATTTTTGGTTTTGCGTTTGTTTTTCCTTGTGTTGGTGTCTTCGAGTGTTATGTATTGAGATGCTTATGCAGATGTTCTCGTCTGAGGAATAAAAGAATAATATTCGGCGTAATATGCATACATATATGTATATATACATGTATGTGTGTGTGTGTATCTATGTGTACGTAGTAACATAACATATCCCCAAATTCTTCGAAAATCTAATGGATTATGTACATGTTGCATATATATATATATATATATATATATATATATATATGAATTCAGAAGTTTAGGCATATTTGTCTTTAATTAAGGTTATGGTTTTACCAAAACAAATAAATAAACAATCTGTAGTGGGCCGCAAAAGGGAATGAATGATACGAGGAGATTCGAGGAGCCAAAATCGTATTCCCATATTATCTCAAAAAGAACGAACAATTATTAAAAAAAAAAAAAATAGATTGCCAAGTTTGGGTGGCCTAATTATTCTCTCACCCCGGATTCAAACCCAAGCGTGGGGAGGGGTATTCACATGGACTTTTCCGATCCTCTGGGAGATGTAGTCGGGTCAAACGCTCAGTGAACTTCCGGATTAAAAAAAAAAATTATGTGATTTACAACAAAAATCAATCATATGATGGGCTATAAAAAAGGCCTATTGGGCCCAATAATGGAAAGCCCAATCCTCGGAACGATTAGTTATTTGTAAAACACCACGTACCAAATATTGATCGACATACATACATACATGCATACATGCATGCATGCATACATACATACATTGGCATTAGCTACCAAAGCCAGTTGTGATGGCGTCGGTCTCGACCTTCTTCTTTCTTCGGCGTCCTCTCTAAATGTACAACTTTCCCACCTATTCATTACGACAATGCAGGAACGACGATCCATATATATATATATATATATATATATATATAT